CTTTGAGGCTTGTAGAGGAGTCAATAGTTCCCAGTAATATAACCATGAATCATGAGGGCTTACTCAGGCCATAGCTTGTCAATTGAAGGTCTGAAAGGTACATAATGAGAGAGGAATTGTAAGGTGCATTGATTATCTGTGCAAGTTCCGAGACAGAAATTAAGATTAAAACTAAATTCAGGGACCAAAAGGACATTGTTAAGGATTAGCCATTTGTGAGTTGACTGTTCCTATTTGAGTGGCAGGGGCGATATTTTCATTAGGCATGCAAATTGATGGTGTGAATGGGTGGATGTATATGCTTTAGCAAATATTTTTAATATATATCACTGTCCAAGTAATTACAAACATTAGTTAACAGATATTTTATCGTAATATATGATCACTGGCTCTCCAGTAATTATCAAAACATTAGTTGAACCAGAGTTCATCAGACAGAAGGAAGGATGTCCCTACGTAGTGGTTGCACTATTGGTAAAGGAAGCTGATTCAGCATTTGGACAAGCATTTACTGTTCATTGGGGCAGGTAGGACATTGCTCGGAGGTATTTGAGATTACATGATTGATTATAGAATTTCTAGTTTGTTTGAGTCGCAGGACACCCATGAATTTCTAGTAATTGTCCTGATTGTGATTCTGCTATTGCAATAATTACAGTATAGCTTTCCTTCCTTGATTTTGAATTGTTGCCTTGTGAGTTGTGACCAGTTGACTTGCTGACTTGTTGTAAGTGTTTAATGAGTTTAAAAGTGGGAAATAATTGAAGGACAGATCTCGTCCGCTTGTTGTACCATATAAAATGGTAGCCTTCTCATTTTCCAAAAAACCTGGCCACCCTTCTCCGTTTTTGTCTGAACGTCGGAGCTTCCTCGACTAGTGCACGATTCAATGAACACCACAAAATCACACATCCGACAATGGTCTTGAGACCCAACTGTTGGCTTTCTTCTTGCACAGCAAGTTGGAAGAGTCGGTAAGAGAGTTGGTGGCGGTGCTCTTACAAGCATTTTTGTTTGGAATGCCAGAAAATTTACGTTCAACCCATCAAAAATCTGGTGATCCGTTCATCTTTGATGTGCTGAAACTGTCAAAGATTTATCTGCGTCCATCAAGCAATTCTTCACCGAGTCTAGTTCGTCCAGATCGTCGACACCGGTTAATACACGGTGATTGCGAGGTTGTCTGTTTTATCTTGGCGAGATTCTGCCGGAGATTGAAGATCTTGGCTAGCTCAAGTTTCCCATACATTTCTTTGATATTTTCCAAATTTCTTCAGCAATCTCAGTCGGTGGAAGTTCGGCGATTACATCCGGCGAAAGACGTTGTTAATCCAAGACCGACTAGATATTGCAGCATTTCTAGTGTTTGTACAGTTGCGGTTCGGTCTGCGAAGGAACCATTCCGTCAAAAAGCCGTTCTTTTCTTTTGCTATTAGTGCTTACGAAAATCGCGAGCCCAAGTCGCGTAATTTTCTAAACTGGTGAGAGGCTGCTTGACCAGGATGATTTCTGGTCTGTCGAGGCTGGTTGTAGACATACCACCTAGTTCTGGTTTGCCACCGGCCAGTGGAATATCTAATTGCATGGGTAAGGATTGAAACGGGCTTGACCTGAGTTCACCCTGAAAACTGAATGGGAAAATTCTGACCCGATTTGGAATTGAGCCAGATCCATTACCTTGCTTCAACACAATTTGCCCTTGATGGGCTGTATCTTGAGGATACTGATTTGGGTTTGATTTATCAAGCCCATCTGAAGAGTTTCGGTTTTATATTCCTGTCAAATTGATCGATTCTAAAAGATGAATTCAATCTAAAATAAATAAATAAATAAACTAACTCTTCCACCCGATACCAATGTGGTTCTGCAGGAACTTAGCAAAACTTTAGGCAAGAGTCGATGGATTAGCGGAATAACTCAATCACCAAGATAACAATAAATGCTAAAATAATTTAGTATACACCAGAAAATTCTCAAGAAACCTTGAGGTTCACAAACAGTCTCACTTAAAACCCAACTTCCTTAGACATTGCGTCTTTTGATAGAATTTATAGACATACATATCATCGTATAAATAACTATCACTTTCTAAACTTAGGCTAGAAAAGTTGTAGAGCTTAGACTAGTGGAAGCTTGGTCAGAACGAATGCTCTGATACCACGAAGAAATAAGCAAGAGAGACACAAAGATGTCAAAGTATGTCAAGAGAAAGTGTTTTGTATATTGAATGAATTTCTTTATATTTACAGTCCCTATCTATAGAAATTTGTACTAGCTGCGTATGGTATATAATATACAAATATGATACAATCTTAATAATAAAGCATGGAAATCATATCTTACATAATTGGGAATGAGAATAGTTCACATATTCTTATTATATGTCTAAATTATGTGAATTAATGTTACATATTTTTTTCTCATATTCGTATGTTAACAATATTCTCTCTTTTACTTCATTAATATTTAATATCTCTAAAACTAAACAACTAATTAAAAGTTAGAAAGATATTAAATAACAAATAGTTAGTAATATATATCTCTTTGATGACATAAAGTAATTAAAACATCACTTACAATGCATATATTAATATCTTAGTGAATCATGGGCTTTGACACAAAGACCGCATTAGTTTTGTTCACAAAGTAACAAAATAGTTAGTTACAAGTGTATTTTTCTATGAACATTCTCTAAATACACATTTATCATATTTAAAACAAAAAATCTCTTTAAACTCCATTTAATACCGAAAATAGTCCTACTTAATTAGGTTTAATTAGGTTTTTTTTGTTTAACCTCTTCTTTCCAATTTCAAATTTGAAACTTTTCTTCTCAAATTATTTCATCCTTGTGTGGATACTTTCTCTATATTTTTAATAATATTTTCATCAACAAAGCAATATTTGAAGTAAAAAAAAAATGTTTTAGTTATTTAGAAAAGTTTGAGTTAAGGTTTATGTAAGAATTAAAGGTTAAATACTAAACACAAATATGAGATATAGTATAAATGTATTTGGAATTATTATACCATTTTTTAATATTTTCTCAATGTTAAAATATTAAACAAAAAGATCATTTAAAAGTGGAAACAAATCGATGAACTCAGCATCAGAGAGGACACAAAGGCAACCCCATCGACACCCTTTCTTACATTATTTTACTCTGTTAAGATTTAGCGATGAACTCAGCTTAGGGAGACAAGCCCATTCATTCAGTCATACATTAAAATGGGCATCCTTTTGGGCCAGATTCACAACCACAAATCTAGACCAAACCCAAACAAGCCCGGCCAACACATACCCATCGCATGTGTACCGTCGTGCGTTAGGGTTTTAGAGGTTTTACTGTCATCTCCCCATTCTCTTTCACAACCCCTAAAACCCTAACACTTCCCTGTGCAAAATCCTTACAGTTTAGTCAAAATCACCATGAAATGACACAAGACCCCTTCCTATTTCCATCCAAACCCTAAATCCTAATTAACCATGAAACTCATCTCCTCAAAACCCCTTTTCTCTGTCTCCTCCTCTCTCTGTCCCAATTCAGAATTTTCATCTCCCATTTCTCGACCTCGTCTTTTCCTCCGTCTCGACGACACGAGGAGGAGTCGCGAAACGTGAGGGTTTCTGTTTGGTGGGATTTCGAGAACTGCAATTTACCTGCTGGCGTTAATGTGTTCAAGGTTCTCACACCATCACTGCAGCCATCAGGGCCCAGGATTAAGGGCCCTATCACGATCACCGCCTTCGGAGATGTTTGCAGCTTTCGAGGACTAATCAGGAGCGCTCTCGGCTACTGGGATTAATATTGCCCATGTTCCTAATGGTATTTGTATGCTTCTTTATGGCATTTATTTTTGTTTTCTTTTCAGTATTATCTTTGAGTGTAGAGGAGTTTTGGTAACTTGTTAATTTTAATGTATGTGAATGGAAATTTTTGGGCTTATCCAATTCGTTTAAATTATGGCATGCTTGTTTTATTGGACGAGTAAGAATGGGTGCAAATTTTTCAACTCAGTGAATACACGATCGTAACATTTGGTAGGTGATGAAGTCTATTTTGTTGTGTGCAAAATGCATCAGGTCTTGTGCCTGCGGTACAGATTGGTGATCATTCATAGGGCCTTTACTTCTTATTTGATGGTTGATTGAAAAGTGATATTTGAGGTAGCTGTAGCTATGATTTAAAATTTCCATGGAGCTTTTCAAGGAAGGAGCCAGGCTTCCAAGTTGGCAATGTTTGTTTCGTGTGATTAAAATTGTCTGGAATCATCACCCAGATCACCAAATGAAATGCTTTGAGGTTTTATTGGATTTTAGTTTCTGGTAACCAGTGATCTCCCTTTTGTGGCTGTTGAGGAATGACTATTGTGAGCTTGTTTTTAAACAGCGTGAGAACTATGATAAAAACACCCTTGTGAATATGCTACTTGATTTCCAGCCAGGGAGAAGAGAAAATGGAAATCATGGTTGAGCATGATACTATCGTATTTGTTATCTCTAAAGTTTCATTATTGCTATATACGTGTTGCGTGTTATCTTTGTGTGTACATGATTCTGCCTGCAATATTTGGACAGGAGAGTGAGGGGGAAATAATCAAGTTATTGAGTATGAATTCATATCATATCATCCTCTAAAAGAAAATGTATCAGTATCATAACTCACATATTGATTTAAACATTTTCAAATTCATCTTTTTGTTATCAGAAGTGTCAGTGGTAAATTTATAGCTATTTTTTTGCCAATCAATGTCCAGTTGTTAAATTTCTTAGCAATTGATTCCTTGGGTTCCTACCTATTTTACCTTGCAAATTTTTCCTCCAATGCAGCTGGAAAGAATAGTGCTGATAGATCACTTCTTGTGATCTAATGTACTGGTTTTCTCAAAATCCTCCACCAGCACATCTTTTTCTAATCTCTGGTGAAGGGACTTTGCTAGTATTTTGCACCGACTGAGGATGAAGAATTATAACGTCTTGCAAGTCCGACACTGCTCCCAATGTTCTCTGCAGTGCTGCTAGTACAGTGGCATTGGAATTCACTGGTCCGAGGGGAGAACCTTACTGGAAAGCATTTTAATCAACCTCCTGATGGTCCTTATGGTTCCTGGTATGGCCATTATAAGGTGCCCCTTGAAGATCCCTTCTCTGTTGTTGAACACCAGCAGCAAGAAGTTCACGCACTGATGAGGTTTGTCATCTACTTCAGATCCTAGGCCTGGTCCAATACCAAGGCCACTTATGAAACAGATTCGTAAGATTTAAACTCATATCCTAGGGAATCTCAATGACCGAACTTCGGGCAGAGTTGAATAAGGGTTATGCGGGTATAGATAGAGACCTATATGGATATAGACGTTCTCCCGCTTTCTTTTGGCGATGCCACATATTTTAAAGCTTCTACCTGGAAGTGATGGCCAGTTTTTCTTCGGGGAATCACTCCAAAAGCCCTGAACCGTTTGAGTCCAGTCTGGGTACATCTAATGGACATGTTGTAGAAATGGATATCAGACCTCTCAAAGCCTGTGAAGTTGATGGTGAGAAAAGCCATAAAGATGAGCTGCCGATGGTAAGTCAGTTTTGCCTTCATCACCTGAAGTAAATTTGGAAGACCCTTCAGGAAAGATTCAACACCCCCTGAATTAACAGAAAGTTGTCCCTGGAAATGAAGCCTCTTAAAAAAAAGCCACGCCCACTCCACGAGGAGAAGGTTTCTATGCCAGCTGGTGTACAGAAACTGAGGGAATCTGTCTCCTGTGGAGGAACAAGATTTCTCATCCGAAGTGGGATTTTTCAGGAAAATTTGGTGCAGATGGTTTGGTGGTAAAGATGGGGCTTCCGAAATTAAAAGTCAAAACATTCCTGAAAAATGCAGTGATTCAGGAGATATCTCTGAGAAGACAAGTCACAGCTACCCTGAAAAATCTTGTATTAATAGTGATAACTTTGAGAAGATAAAAGTTAACGAGAAGAGCATGAGATCACCAAGTCAGGATGCTTATCCAGTTGGATCCTCTGAAGAGAATAAATCTGCTAGAAGCACTGAACCTCCTGATGACAATTATACCCCACGTACAGGTGTTCTTAAACGAATAATAAACTGGTGTAAATTTCAGAGTAGCAGCCAAGACACTGATACATCGGTTGATCCATCCAATAAAAGACAGATCGAGATAAACAGTAATTCTCACAGGCATGAGGTCTTTATGAAGGATTCTTTCTGGTCTGACATGGAATCCTTCATGGATTCACCTAGAGGATCAGTCATTGTCACCCAGTCTAGGACCAGGTACATGCATTTGCTTAGTGTTCTTTCCTTTCTTTGGCAGTATGGTATTTTTAGCTGTTACAATACATATAAATTAAGCAGTGCCCATTGCATGTAATAGTTGTCTTTCTATAAAACAAATTTTAAAAACTTTTTGGCCAATAAAATTTTGTTTAAGTCATAAAATTGCTAGATTTAGTTTGTATTAATAAGTGTAAATTCCGGAAACAAGATTTAAATTCTAGTTTGTGAGTGACTGAAACTGAGGCATCCATTCATCTTATATTTTGTTTTCTCTTTTATAATTTCTGCAACTATCATAGTTGGGACACATCAACAAATATAGTTATAAAGGAATCTAATAATTTTTTAAGGTAACAATCTTTAAAATGATAACTATGATTTTCAGAGTTTTAGCAGTTGCAATCAAAATTATATTTTTATATAGTTTGTGGTTTGTTTCAGGGAACAGTTGGCTCAATGTCTGCGAAAGGAAGGCCCTTTAGCCCTTAGAGATCTCAGTGACAGTGATCTTCTTAACCTTGTAGATATGCTGATATCAGAGAAGAAATGGGTGGAAGAAAGCCCATCTGAAATATCACCTTTCAAACTTACTCGGCCAGTTGTAACGAGGTCTTCTTTGGGTCATTCTTGTGCTGCAAATGGATTGAGATCAATCTTTTTAAGTACGCAGTCACAATCCAACCTGCCAAATGTACCAGAGCTTAATGGAGAGAAAAAGGTTCAAAATATTTCTCATGCTGGAGTTTCCCCACCTACCGGTTATGAGAAACCTTTGGACAGATCTAGAAATGACATATTAGCTGACTGTCAGAACCTTGTGAGCGAGATATTGAAGGAGCACCCAGAAGGATATAATATGGGATCCTTCAGGAAATTGTTCCTTGAGCGGTATGGCTACCATCTTGATTTAAAGCAACTCGGTTACCAAAAGTTGGCATCCCTGATACTGATGATGCCTGGGGTGAAAATTGAGTCCAGTCATATCTTTCCTTCCAGACAAAAAGTTGGTGGCTCTGATCAGGAATTCTTTTTTGATAAAGTTCAAGAAGATAATGCCTATCATCCATTAACTAGCTCAGATAGTGAATCATCTGAGACGTCAAAGAAGAATGATGATTCTGACTCTCCATGGGATGAGCTGGGCCCTATTTCTAACTCGAGTTTTGATAGAAAGGATGGGCAATCAATGCCAAGGAATTCAGTGATGGAGGAAAAAAAGAAACGATATCCTGATTATGAACCTTCTGTCTCGGATGATGAAATTTCAGATTCAGAAGATGAAGTCTCAACTGGAACACTTCCAGAAGGGCGAGGAAAGCCAGTAATAAAGGAGGAAGATAGCTCGTTATTGCAAATCCTAAATTCATGGTACAGCAGTAATGAAGGCGACCAAAAAAAGGACAGGTTAGAGAATGTTGATGGCATGGTTGATTGTTCTACCAAGGGTGTAAAGCCTTCTAGTTCATCAGAAATATCAACCAAGGGTGAAACCTCTTCAGTGATCTTCAAACGGAAGCAAAGACCTCAAAGGAGCTATTCTTTTGTTTCAGACCCTGTTGAGAATAATAAGGACAAGTTGATTGATGGAATACTAGGCAGCTTGAAGAAATCAGGTGAGTCAAGGATACAAAGCTGAAAAATTTAGGAAATCATACATTCTAGCTTCAGGAAAAGGCGATAGGCTTTTAATAATTTAACAACTCATTAAGAGTAGATGGTGTTATAATACCAGTCGGAAACAGAGTTGATTTATTTGAGCTCTGTACAATATGCCAAATTGCTGCTCTGTTTTTCAGTTCAGTTGAAAATTTTGAATGATGGTGAGCATAGAGCTTAGTTCTTCAAATGGTATAGTTTTATTGAACATCACCATTTATCACATGTTCAGGTTTTTTAATCCAAATATTCAACTAGCAATTCGTAACTTCACGTTTTTTGTTTATTTTATTTTACAAATAATGAAGGCTCGATGTAATTAATTTATTAAGTCGAAGATTATTTTGTTCATTTACAAAAAAGGACTTTGATTTTATTAAAGATGAGATTGGAATTTTAATAACCTATTTTAAAACCGTTAAAAGTATTTTAATTTTTTATCATAAATGCATGGAAAATCTCATCTTCTAGAAAGAGGACATGCACTATGATTTAATGCTAAGATTTTAGTCATTTCTACAAAAGACAAGGGTTAAACTCCTCGCTTAAAAAACATCAATAAGTATTAAAAATCTAACGATTTTCAAAAAATATTAAATCTCTCTCTTGAGCTATTATAAAAGGTATTAGAAATTTTTTTTTTTTTCATACTCGCGAGTGTCAAATCATTGCGCACACTTTTACAATTCTTCTGAGATTTCAGATTATCGTCGGATAGAGTTTCAATGGTCACCCTTATTAGGAGTTAAGATGAATTGAACTCAAAATCTCTTGAGTAATACATTAAGAGTTCTAGTTACCACTCGACCACTCAATAATGGTTAAGGCATTAGATATTATTAAAACCCTATCCCAAGATTATAAAAAATCTGTAAAAATACCAAAAACTTCATATAAGAAATATGTAATACTTTCTCAAAATCAGAAAGCGTTACATTAATATACATATCATCTTAAAAGTAAAATACCTCGATGGTGTATGAGTAGAAACAAAGCTTTTTATGGTTTCCAAAACACATTCACAGAAGAAAAATGAACTCTTCTCGATTAAGCAATTCTCTATTAATGGCAAAATTATTGGATTTGATAATAGAGATTAGAGAAATTGTTTGTTCAAAATTGGAAATACTATGGCACACTCCAAGAGATTGGTTTTACGATTAAAAAGGTTTGCTTTTATTAACTTTCTGGATTCAAATCACTTTGGGGCCACTATAAATTTGGGTTATCGGAATATTAGACTTGTAGATGTTCAATGGATCTCAAAATTAGTTAAACTACGTACAAACTGTCTGAATACTTTGATATTAAAAAAAAAAAAATATATACTAGAACATCAGGCACACTTTGTCCACTGCCCCCAAAAAAAAAAAAAAAAAAAAAAAAAAAAAAAAAAAAAATTCAATAATAAAAAAAAAAAAGGTCCCATATTCCAATTTCCAAGGAACTTGTTTCTCTTGTATTTGACAACTAGACCCCCGGAATAAATTAGTTTCAATTATTGGTTTACAAATTACAATGATTAAGCCGAATAAATAAATAAATTCATGGGCTGTGTTAATAATATGATTAATATTATATGAATAATTTACAATAAATATAAAATCTTTATTATATTTTTATAGCTATAGTATTAGAAGATATCATCAATTTAATGTGAGTAGTTACCATTACCAAAAAGAATTATTTTCATTTTTGTTCTTGGTAAAAAGATATTAATTATTTTAAATATAATTAAATCTCAAGAAATTAATAACTTTGATTAAATAATATTTTTGGTTGGTCCCTACTTTTGATTAATATGGTAAATAAAAAATTCGCTAAATTTATAAAATAATATATTAAAAAAAAAAAACACATAGATACGACTTGATATATAAATTAATAATCTTCATATATATCAAAATTATATATATACATAACTCAATTAGGAGATATTTGAGCTATTTCCTATGTTACACTAACTCTTAGCTATAAGTTAGACCGATGATGTTATTTCTAATAGGTATTCCTTATTCGACATTAACTATACATAATATGTACATGCATTAAATTCAATGTTTAAAAAAAAAAAAAATGCTAGCCTTACAAAGATGCATACAAAGAGGGACATACAAAGACAAATCCTACCCTTAATCTTCATGATTGTCTTTTTCTCTCTCTCTTTTTCCATTCTTTCAAGATAAGATTTATCTTTGTATGTCACTTTTTGTATGCATCTTTGTAAGGTTATTATTCTTCTTAAAAAAAAGAAAGAAAATAAACAATGTCTTAATAAATTAATAATTTATTAATTCATATGATTAAATAATATATCAATTAATTAATAAATTTTCATGATGACAGATTTAATTGTAATTAGGTTGTGTTTATTATTATATTTACTATTCATTTTTTCAAAAATAAATAATTAATCCTATAATTTCACATTTTGAAAATGTTTTAATTTTTTTATAAGAATAATATATAAAATGAAAATAATTAAAGCACATTTATTNAATAAATTTTCATGATGCCAGATTTAATTGTAATTAGGTCATGTTTATTATTATATTTACTATTTATTTTTTCAAAAATAAATAGTTAATCCTATAATTTCACATTTTGAAAATGTTTTAATTTTTTTATAAGAATAATATATAAAATGAAAATAATTAAAGCACATTTATTAACATTTTCTTTAATATTTTAAAAATAAATTATGAATAATTTTCAGTTTTTTTTTTTTTTTTTCAGTTTTACAATACATAGAAAACGAAAATTATAATGAATTCAATATTTAGCTTTAAGGTCTTAATATATAATATGTTAACCTTACATATAAAAATATTATTAAAAATCCCAAATAAAAGTATTCAATTCTCTAATAAAAATAAATTATATTTAAGTTTGTAAACCCATATAGCCTAAACTTTATACTCATCTTTTCCCATCACAAAAAGGAGACCAAAAGAAAAAAGGAAAATCTGTTTTTACTTTATTTTATTTTGTTTCCTTAGCTATTAATCAAAAGAAAATTGTTTTCCCTTCACAAAAAAAAAAAAAAAGATAAACCGGTTTTGGGAATTTTCCGGTGTACCCATAAAGCCCTTTTGACTTTTATAATAATATTGATGATCTTGTCTTTTCCATATTCATTCACCAGTGCCTGCCTCCTTGTGATCCGCTGCTTTTATTCTTTCCGAAGAAAGAATTTTTTGGCTTTGCCTTTGGTATCTCATGAATGTCCATCACTTGAATTGTTCTTTGCTTTTTAGCTTCATAAACACACACAAAAAAACTCCGATCAGAACAATAAACATTTTGCCTAATTTGCTTCAACATAATCCCAAGTCTGTCTTTCTTCCATACATCTGCATTTTTGTAAAACCTGGACTTGATACTTCCACCATAATGATTGTTAAAACTGTCGATCATTTTACGTAGACAGATGTAAGTCCAGATTTTACACAAATGCAGAATAGGTAACAACGGAAGCACATATAACCCGCCAATGAGGGAGCACGTGGAATGGTCATTGGCTGATTATATGTGCATCCGTTGCCCGGAAAACTTTCCAGGCAAACTGACATGAACCAACACAACAGAGAGAACAGAAACAGAGTAACAAACCATTTTCAGCTTCTTTATAGCTCTCTTGAAGCCGTCTTCTGGCTGAAGCAAGCCTATCCGAATCAAAATTTCTTTCCTTCTGTTGCTGTTGTTGAAGTTGTTGTTGTTCTCTCATTCGCTGCAAAATTCTAAAAATAAGCAAATGCATGCATTCGGGAGGGGGTTTTGAAAGTGTTTTTACATGAGAAAATTTAGTAGTTTACTCCACCCACCTAAGCTAAACTCAACTATTTTGTGCATAGTTGAGTTGTGAGTTTCTCATTTTGGGAAAGCAAAAGCTTCATAGTTTGATTTTAAACCCTCCATTTTCTCAGCAACCAAATAAGAGAATTAAAGACTCTAATTTGGTGCATATGATACCTGTACACTTAGAGGAACATGAGCTGCCGGAGGTTTAGATGCAGCAGATTCTTTCCGGGGCGGATTCGGATTCGGATTCAGATTCAGATTCGGTTTCGGCTTCCTTTCTGGCTCTGAATTATTCCTGTCTGACCCAGAACTTCCATCTATCAAACCAATACAACTCATTAAACAAATGAAGTCAATAAGAATAAAGCCAGAGATCAAAATGCCACAACTTTGAATCGGATTCTCTACTCACTCTGAGGATTTGGAGAGTACGCGAAATCTGGAACCTAAAAATTAAATAACAGAAGAATCTTAGAAAGAAAGTTACAAACAAACTTTCAACAACTTTCTCAGGAAAAGCCAAATTGCCAAGAAAATAAAAGAAAAAAGTTTATCTTTCACCTGGTGATGCCCATTCTGGGGAATCTTTTGCTGGGGTGAGTCTCCATCTACTGCCACCACCATTAATTAATTAATCTCTCAAAAAAATTTCCCAGAAAGGGAAATGGAAAATTATGAACTAAGAACTCATCAAAAATCAAATTACCCATTAGCGTCGAGGCTCCGACTTCTCCAGGTTGATTCAGTCTCACCCATTCATCTACAATTTCCTTCCATTTCCTGCTAAATTAAAACCCCCAAAATCAACAATTTTCCGAACTAATGCTTCGAAATTAACACAAATTTAATACCTAACAAGATGCTTCACTAATCTTCTGACATCATTTGATGAATGCTTTCTCAATCGATTCACAAACCTCCCAATATCAGTCTCCTGCAATTACAACTCAAATTATCATCAAGTTCTGAACTTCAATCACTGAACAAAGAAGAACAAAAACAAATTTTTTCTCATAAAAAGAAAATTACCTTTAAAGCTTTGAATGTTATATCCATGTCTGCCAAACTTTGAAGCAGATCAATTAGAGAATCTTCAGACTGAAAATAAAAAACAAAATCAAACTCATGTCATAAAATTCATAAAAACAAAAATTTGAAATGAAAAAGAATTAAAGAAACCTGGTCAGGATCTTCAAGATGCTCTTTAATTTCAAGAATTCTTCTCTGTTCATCATCAAACAAACCGCCATAAGTATCCACATCATCATCATCATCATCACCATGATCATCATCATCATCATCATCAACAGAACGGGGCGTGTAGGGTGACACGTGGCCTTTAGTCAAGCCTTCATGTTCAATCTCCTTCTCAATCGTAACGTCAACTCCATTAACCCGACTATCTTCCCCACCACCGAAGTCACAGTTTCGACACCGCGTGGAAATACACGTCGCATAAAGCCTCTCGACAATTTTATCCCGGCGCTGCTTCAGCTCCGCCGTGTAGTCCAGCGACGCCACCAGAATCGCCGTGTCAATAAACGTCCAAACGTCCACGTTCGCCGAGTCAAGAATAGATCGAAACTCATCCAAATCCATCGAAATTAGATTTTATCAAAAAAACCAAACACAAGTGACGTGAAACTCTAAACAGAATCTGAGTTTACATCACCAGATCTAAAGGCAAAACAGTATAACATCAAGTTAATGAATGAATGAAGAAAGTCTAACAGAAAAATGTAAGAAATTTTAGTTAAGTAAAGAAACCAATAAAAAGAGGTAGATCTGAGTGGGAATTTTGTTCAAGCTAAAATGGGCTCTGGGGTTAGAGAGGAAATTCTTATGGGAGTTTTTTTTCTTCTATTTTCTTATTATGTTTTTGATGTTAGAGGGGATCAAAGTGAAGATCAAAGTTTGTGGAGGGCTGATGGCGGAGTAGTATATTCCGAAAAATCAGGTGGGCTGATTTTGGTTTTGGTTTTGGTTTTGGTTTAGTTTTTTATTATTTATTTTTTGGGTTAATTTTGGGAATTGCTTAATTATTATTATTTAACTAAAAAACTTGTTGGTTCTGGTTAAGCTGAGTCAGAAGACAGCAAGACTTTGATGCTATTCCTTTGAAACAAGGTTTGGTTTGTTGTGGTTTGGGACATGGGACAGACAAAAAGAAAGAGAGAGAGGAGAGAATTGAGTTGAGTTGTTGAATATTGGGGTTTTTTTTAATCTTTTTTTATTTATTTATTATTTTTTAGTTAGTATGACGAAGTCCTTATAGAATTGTTTAATTTGATGAAAACCCGTGTTTTCGGAAAGTATAATATACCCTTTTTTTTTTAGTTTTCGATAGTTGTATATAAGGCTTTTAAGATTTTTTAGGAGGATCTTTTAAAAATAAAACTAATTTGTTAGCAACAACTAACGAGATCATTTAATTTAATTAACACTCACATTTTCAAAAAAATATTGTGTACCCTTTTATCAGGGGATTTTGATTATCTTATGGAAAGAACTTTAATAATGAAAATGATATTTTATGAACAAAATCATTTAGTTTAAGTGACACCTATGTTTTTTAGAAAATATTGGATACCCTTTTATTAGGGAATTTTCAATGTTCTTATAGAGGTTTTTAAATAATTTTTAGGAGATTTTTTTTTTAATTAAACCGATTTATTAAGAAAATTTTCATTTGATTTAATTGACATTTACATTTTCAAAAAAAAAAAATATATATATATATATACATCGGATTCCCTTTTTATTAGGGGCGTTCTATTCTCAATACTTTGATGAAGGATTTGTCTTATATCCGGATAAGATTTTTAAGAGATTTGACCATTATTTTTTTTCGTTTGGTTATTTCTTAAAAATAAAAAAAGTAACACTATACTCACAAACGATTTTCACTAATTTTCTCTCACAAACACCACATATTAACTCATAATTCATTAATTTACATAAGTCTTATTTGTCTAATAATAGATCTTGCTTGAGCAAATCAACCACAAACTTTGAAATAGGGTTAATGAAAGGGGTTTGTCCCATAATGACACTGATGAATACTGAATAAAATGATTAAAAACTGATTACAATTAGAGAATCTTAATTAAATTTGATAAGTCAAATCAATCTTTTATTAATGACCAAGTTTTAGGTAAATTCTTTTGGTGAAGACCAAAAGCCTTGGTACAAAAATTCCCATTGAAATGTTGGAAGGAACTAACCAATGGTGGTGGCCTGGTGGGCAAAGCCAAGTTGGTCACGTGCATCCTTAGAAAGAAAATGGATATTGTTTAGGATATTATCATAATTTCAATCATGTGTCATGTGGTCACACATGATTAGGCTATGTGGGTTCACTAGAATTTTAACATTTTTTTATGGTCTTGATCATATTCAAACTTAGAGGCAAACTTGTTAGAGCCATTAGATCTTCTAGATAATGTCTTATCTAGGGTTTAGATTTTTGATGATGTAAAGGATATGATAATGGTCATCCACATTTGGATCAAGAAACATTTATTGGGTAAATGTAAGTCATCCCCCCTTTTAAAGTTAATCTTAATCAGAGAAAATTAGAACATAAATAACAATAGATTTTGTGGAATGTTGTATAAGTCTATATAAACCTAGATTTAGTAACTAAAAGAAAAAAAAAATATTTAAATATGTCATAAATCGTCATGGATTAAGAGTATTTTGTATTAGACCACTAATATACTGGTCTAATAACGAACCTTGTTATTAAAAACCCTAAGCATTTATTGGAGTGATCAATATTATAAATTCTAAATCCGATTCTAGACTAATGACATTATACTAAAACCATTATATTCAAAACTAAATTCTTTTAATTAGAGTTTAATACTCTTAAATTTGTTGGCAAAAATGTTACCTCTACAATGGACTCTTCATCAATATAAAATTTCAAACTCACTTGAGATATTTATACATATTTGAATTTACAATTGTAACTAAGTGAATATTTAAATAAAGCGAATATATAACATCTCAATCTACTGTCAAGATATTATTTATTTTTGTAATACCCCACTTGAGGTACGTAGTTAAGATTTGATGAATGGCTTGAATGTTTATTGATTTATCTTCATTTGGGTCTGTATGTTGTTAATATTGCTTGGTTTACCCTTAGTTGAAAGGGTGTATTGGTGTGGTTGCCCTGAAAATTTGTAAGACTTGGCGAAATCTTAATGTTACAGTCTTCGCCGGGGCGAAGAAGAAGCTTTGCCGCGGCGATGAAGTGCTACATCCCCGTGTAGCTGCTGTGAGTTTTCGCAGGGGTGAAGAAATAGCTTCGCCGCGGCGAAGACTCTGCTGAAATTTTCCCTTGAGTTTTAGAAAATTCTTTCTTTTGGGACTCAATGACCATTGTACCTCTAATTAGCAGGAAAAGTGGGGAGTGAAATGCAAGGAAATTGCATGGAGAATAGTTTGAATGGGGATGTTTTTGCAAAGAATGAAAGGTCATGGGTGGAATTTCAAAGAAGGAGCAAGGGTATATTGGGAAAGAGTGGAGAAAATATGAGATATTAAGGGTTTAGCTTTAGAAACCCTTTCATTCATTCTTCTCCACCGCCTCTTTCATCATTCAATTCTCTCAAATTTTCATTCAATTTTCCAAGGATCTTTGAAGAGCTTTTGACTAGAAATTGATACAAGTTGATCCTAAGCATTTAAAGGTGAGAATCCTTACTCTAGATGTGAATTTTATTGTTGAAAGAGTAGGATCCTTATTGAGTTTGTATTGAAGGTTTAAGAGAAGGTATCAAGCCATCAAGAGTAGAGAGCTTAAGTGATTTCTACTTGAGCCTAAGGTAAGTAAATCCACCTAAGTTGTGATTTGCATGATTGAATGATGTATAGAGATTTATATATGATTAATGCTTGAATTTTTATGTTGAAATGAGTTGATGAATTCATGAATGATTCAATTTTTTACTTAAGGAATTTTCACCATGAGAAGGTGGATTGTGTTGTTAAATTTTGGTAGAAGTATGGATAGATTAGAAGAATTTGAGAGGAATTTTTGAAGTGTGTTTTCTTTGCAGGATGTTATGATTTAAAGGAGTTAACTCTAATTTTGGATGTTAAGAAAGAAGTATAATTAAGTTAGAATAAGTTTATGTATACACATATATTGTTTGATGAAAGTCTAAAAGAAGCATGAGTAGAAGTAGAGAACCTTACTTTATGCAACATAGCATATCGGCATGTCATGAATGCATATAGAAAGATTTTAGGTATGAGCCATCCATATGCATATGTTTAATTGAGTAATCACATGAGAAAGAAATAAGAGAAATGAGAAAGAAACACTCTAAGAATAGAGATAAAAAAAGAACCAATTCTCTTAGAATAAAGAGAAAGAAAGAATTAGCATTAGAGAATAAAATGATTATTAGTGCTACAGAAAGAAAAGAAAATAGGTCGTGCGATGGGGAACCCGTGTGTAGAGTTACCCGCATGTAAACCGCCATGAGAGAGAGCGGTCTCCGCCATGAGAGAGCGGAATGAAATGAGAAAAAGAACTTGTATAGCCATGAGTACATGCGGATGAGAGCTATACACGGAGAGAGTACACTCACGTGGTCAAGGGTTCCGAATCCATGCATCGACCAAGACCGGCAAGAATAAAAATAAAAAGAAAAGAATAGAAAGAAAAGAAAAAAAGAAAATGCATTGTTATGCTTTAATGTCTCGTCCTGCATGATTATGATATTCTCCATGGTGATGAATAGAAAAAGAAAGAAAAGAATTGAGAATTAGAATTGAGAAAGTGACAAGAGTATGAAAGAATTGATGAGTAATGCATGGGATTATAGAGTAGAATTTACTTACTGAGCATCTTTGTGTTCACCCGTTGTTTTTATGTTTTATGGACATAGGGGAGGACATGGTCAGATGGACGTCGGCAAACGGGGAGCCTTGGTTGCACGTGTCCACTATTTTTTTTTTTTTTTTTTTTGAGAGTCTTTTTGTACAAATGATGTTGTACTATATAAAGAATGTATATTAAGTAAAAAAAATTTTTGGGCTCAACTATTTTGTAATATACTTGTCTTTTTATTGATATATTTTATAAATATAATAGTAGAAATGTTGTTACAATTTTGAACTCCCGTAAACCTACACAAGTTTACTTTTAGGCTTACGCAAACGTCAATCATCTTTACAACTGAATATTTTAGATTATAATTATACTAAATAATATGTAAATAGGGTGAATATAAAGTTCTTTCTATTGTTTTTTTTTTGGCCGAACGACTTGTGCATACCCAGATTTGCTAAACGACAAGTTGATACCCAAAAGGTTTTGAAACGACAAATAGATACCTTCCTCAATTCTGTTGTGATTTCTGTTTATTAATATTGAAAAGACTAAAATGCCCTTAAAAGTTTGAATTTTAGTTTTTTATAAATTTAAAAATTTCTAAAAAACCCTCTAGGTTAACAAATTTACAAAATACCCCAATATATAAATTTTTGTAAAATACAAAAACACCCCCGCTACCCACAGTGCCGATTCCGGCCACCACCGCCGGAATCTGGCCGAAAAGTTGCGTTACGACACAGACTCATCGATCTGTCGTAACGTGCCGATCTTGCCTTTTCCGGCAAGATCTGCCACAGATCTTGCCGGAAAAGGCCAGATCTGGCTGTCGACGACAGCCAGATCTGGCCTTTTCCGGCCAGATCCGTAGCTGATCTGGCCGGAAAAGGCCAGATCTACGGCAGAATCTAGCCTTCGATGCCGCAGATGGAGTTTTGCGGCGTCGCCGGCCAGATCTAGCCGTAGATCTGGCCTTTTCCAGCCATATCAGCCACGGATCTGGCCGGAAAAGTCAATAGGCGTTACGACACAGATCCGACGGGTCTATGTTGTAATGCAACTTTCCGGCCAGATTCCGGCGGTGGTGGCCAGAATCTGGCAGTGCGGTGCGGGGGTGTTTTTGTTATTTTATAAAAATTTTATATATTGGGTTATTTAGTTAAATTTGTAAACCTAGGGGTTTTTTAGATATTTTTAAATTTATAAAAAACTAAAATTCAAACTTTTAAGGGCATTTTAGTCTTTTCACTATTAATAAACAGAAATCATTAACAGAACATGACGGAAGGTACTTATTTATCGTTTCAAAACCTTTTAGGTACCAATTTGTCGTTATGGCAAACCTTGGGTATGTGTAAGTCATTCTCCCTTATTTTTTAGGATAAAAAAGCTATTGGTTGGTTGCACATGGTGAAAGCAAGTGTCTTATGCATCAACAAGAGGACAAATTGGTAACATCACCGTTGCCATTAATTTAGTGAAGAATATACTTAGTTAGAAAATAGAAGAGTGAAAGAAGGGGGGGTGGTGATCATGGTGGGTCATTCACATCCAAAATGCCCACACTTGTGGCCCCGAATATCAATTTGTTCAAGATTTTATGATATACAAATCTTCTCCCTAAGATCTCACACCCATCACTAGGCTTTAGCCTCTATGCATTTTAGATACGTTGATTGAAATTGATTTCATAAAACATAATTTTTAAGAAACTATTCATAGTTTGGTTATATTAAATATAGAAACATTATTTTAATAATAAAATTATTTTTTTTATTATAAAGAAAATATAAAATGAATTTGTAAATTGTATAGCGGATCATAATTCATAAACACTACACCAAAGAGATTGCATCCTAGGTCTTTTTTTTTTTTTTTTTTTAATGATCAGAAGTGTTCGGACTAACTTATACGTACTTCAACTAATCTCTTGAAACCTTAGAATTATCGGCCGGGTAAAAACTCCGATGATCGATTAGCTAAGATAAGAGTTTCATATTTTCTAATAAATAAAATGAAATTTTGATCAAATCACACATGGATTGGAATATTCTAAACTTTCTAATTTTTTTAAATTTTTTATCTAAAAAATATACGATATAACTAAGAAAAAGTTTCAAATATCACACATCGGTTAACGGTTATCAAGTATCCCATGTACCCCATTTAATATTCTCATATTCTTCATAAAATAATAATTTGTGGTTTTTTTATTATCATAAAAAATATAGTACATAAAAAAAGGATTTTTTTTTTTAAAGCACAATATAGAATATTGTTTAAAAAAAAAAAAAAAGGGTTTTATTTTTGAAAAAGCCGTTATCCATAACATTTAAAGTTGAAAAGTACACAAGAACATAGTGGATTTTGTCTAATGAGAGAGATTTTCATGCTTACTACTTTATAATTATCAAACCAATTAGAAGTTAACAAGAATTAGATGGGAATTGAATAGTGATTAATTAACTCTAAACCAATGTTAAGATTACATTAGTAAGGCCATTAATTAAGACGTCAAATCATGCTTTAGTTTATACTTTATAGCATTGAACTTAACCACCAATAAATTCACATGGGGAAAAGAAAACATTGCCCAAAGTCAATATGATAATCCCTAGATTAAAACCCTCTAAATATTGCAACTCTCTACCTTCTTTTGTCTTTTCATTCTTCGATGTTCTTTTATATTTTAATTTGCATCTCGGAATTTCAATTATGAATTTATAATTAAAAATTATATCCTTATTATTGGTAGTTCAATTTAAAAAAAAAAATAGAATTAAAAGACATTGTTTGATATAATATAATCACAAAATTCTCCAAAGTTTTTTAAATAACCAAATCACTTTTCTATTAAAAATCCATTAAAACTTATACTATTACAATTTAATTAAATATTTATCAAATTACCTTTGAACCATTTATTTTAACACCTAAATTTAATGGTAAAAGAACTTTTATTATTTAGGAAACTCCAATAGTTTTTTATATTTTTTATTATTATTAATTAAACCTCAAGAGAGTTAATGCATTAACTTAAAACAACAACAACAATAACGATAATGATAATAATAAATTAATTGTACATTTATATGAATTAAAACATACATACGGTGTCTTGTAGGGTATTTAAAACTTCATTATTAAAATTTGATTATTATTATTAATTTTTTTTTTTTTTTATGAACCCGGTAATTGTCTCCTCTATGACTTAAATCAAGACATTTAGGTATAATCAATCTCAATCTCAATAGTTAAAGAGTTTGTCATCGGATCAAGATAAAATTTGATTATTTTATGTTTTCTTTTTAAATAATCAGATATTTAGATATGTGGAGTCAAGTAAAATAACCTCATTCTAATCAAATATCTAACTTTATTGCTTTAATAGAAGATTCATGACCAGTGTTGGTAGATTAGGTATTGAAGAAGTTTTAAATGTTTTGATAAAAATTGACCGGCAATCCACTCGGATTCTACTTCTATTGCTTCTTCATTTTCTTGCAAATTTTGGTATCAAAATCATAATTATGCCACAACTGTCCCATCAAAAATAATATCCCTAGGGAAAATGTTTGCCCTAAAATGTTTTCATATTTACTTCAATGAAATTTTATGATAATGTTATTATATTAATATTACAACATGACTTTTGATTTATCTACTTAATCTTGATTCAAGTGCCTAATATTTCCGAAAAAGGTATATGAACAAAATTTCATATGAAAATTAAAATTCCCTGATCAATGTAACAAAATTGATTTCTTTTGCTTTGTAATTAATTAACGAACAAGTATAGTGACAAATCTATAAACTATTTTTTTTATGGGTTTTTATTTTTCAATTTGTATCTATTATAATTATAAAGAATCTTCTTAACAAAACTAATTAATTTATTAAGTTTGTACATAATAAAGGGTGGAATAGGATGTATGATTAAATAAAAAAACTATAACGGATTTTTTAATTTTTTTTTTTTATGGGCTTGTTGGGTTTGCCTTCTGTCAAAGTTTGAGTCCAAACTTAGCTTAGATTTTATGGGTCGGGTCAAAATTGGGTTGGACTCTTATTAAAAGAAGATTGGGCTGAACACAATATTTTTTTGGACTTGTATTTATTTTCTATTACTATCAAAAAGAATTTATAAGGTTGAAACCACGAGAAAATGATCTCAGATATTGTGATTGATAGCCAAATTCATTAATAAATCATCTAAATGAACGATAAGTTGTGTATGTTTTACTAGTATTAGGATTTTAATTTATTGTTTTAGTAGCATTAGGATAGTATGAAAATGAATATCAAATGGTCATTACAAAATTGAGTGATCAGATTTGATAACTTTACTACACTAATCAAATAGATATTAATATATTTCTTAATCATCCAAATGAACAATAAGTCGTGTATACTTTAACTGAAGAAGAAATCATTACTAGAATTAGATAAGAAGAGGAAGAAAATAATTATGAGGATGAATATAGTATGAAAGTATCAAAAGTTTCGCGCCAAGAAGCTCCAAACATGCAGTTAGAAATATTTTGGCTTTAAAAAAGTGTCCATGTTGGCGACTTATTATGTACCCGCAAGATAAAAGATATGATAACAACTCTAAAGCATAAATAATTGTCTCAAACAATTTTAACATAACATACATTTTTTTATAATATGCATATAATTATTACTACATAGAGATAAATTCTTTAAGACAGGATCTAGAAAAATTATAACTTATTATAATGTGAAATTTATTCTTATTTATAATTGGTCTAAATTAAGACCATAATTTTTTATGACTAAGATAAAAGTTATTTCTAAATGAAATATCATTACAGAGGTTCGCTACATGATTAAGAGCACTAATATTTAAAATAAAATTTCCCACACCACGGCCCATGAAACTGAGATCTAAACCTCAAGACGGCATTTTATTCTTCTTTTGTCTGTTTTCTAAACTAAGCTTAGTGACTTCCAAAGATTAGGTTAATTTCGATGCTTTATCCCTCTAATTAATCGCTCATTGTATTGGTACAATCAAAATATATTTGGTTTAAATATAAAATATTATTGCAAATAATAAATTCCCTCAAGTACATTAAAATTTTCAGAATGTTTACATTGAAAAAAAAAATATTTAGATAATGTTATTATATTATCTCTAACATTTCTATTTGCTGATGTTATTCTATGTTCTTATAAAGGGCTCTTCTCTTTGCAACTATGGCTTAACTTCTTAATTTAAATTGCAAAAATTTAGTTTACAGAGATAAATTGAGAGAGATGGAAATGGTGGAGGATGTGGTCATAGTTGGTGCAGGAATTGCAGGGTTGGCAACCGCGGTGGCCTTGAAGAGAGTAGGGGTTCGAGCCATGGTGCTCGAGAGGGCCGACGGGCTACGAGCCACGGGTTCAGCCCTAACCCTCTTTCCAAATGCATGGCTCGCTCTTGATGCCCTTGGCGTCTCTCACAAGCTCACTTCTCTTTATTCTCCTTTCAAAAAGTAATATATAAAGAGTCTAGCTAATTAAGCTTATTTGTTTTTAATTTCTCCTTACTAATATTTCACAAACTTATAATTTAATTTTCTCTTTAATTTAGGGGTCGCACGATAAATATTGATACTGGAATTGATCAGAGGTTCCCTTTGAGGGGAATAATGAATGAGTGAGTTAATTAAATTCATGAATATTTATATTCTTATGAAATTAAGCGTTACTAAATATGATAATTTTAAATAATTGAGCTCATTTTTATATGTAGTCAAGAACATGGACCGAGATCAGTCCATCGGAAAACGTTATTAAAAGCTTTGGCTGATGAATTACCAGCTGAGACGATTCGATTTTGTTCAAAGCTAGCTGCAATTCAAACAGAAGAACAAGAAGGTTCAACCATTGTCATATTGAGAATGGAAGATGGAACCATCATCAAAACAAAGGTTCAAATCGAAATCAATTTCAAAAAAACCATTTTTTATCTAAATTACTGTATTGGATTCTAAACCAAATAGTTGTTTTAGATTTTAATAGGATGTGATGGGGTGCACTCCATGGTGGCGCGGTGGCTAGGGCTTGCAGAAGCAGCCAATTCAGGGCGATCAGCAGCCCGTGGGTTAGCTGTGTTTCCTGAAGGCCATGGACTGGAACCAGAAGTGCAACAATTGAAACATATGGACAAAAGAGGTGGGATTATTCCTATCGACGATAAGGAGGTTTATTGGTATCTCACTTGTACATCTCCACCAAAAGGTGAATTCCTTACCTTTTTGTTCATATATATAGTCCGTTTTTCCTGTAAACAATTAGAAATTGTGAAAAATTATTTTTTAATGTTTAATATATATATATTGCGGATGATATAAAGAATTTTTTGAGTCCTAATGTAAAAAATTTGTGCCACTTTGAGTTTGCATCAATAGCGCTCTTTCGTTGCAGGAGCTGAAATGCCAAGAAATTCGGAACTAATCCTGAAAGAAGTATCTGAGAACTATGCCAGGAACTTCCCTCAACATTACCTAGAAATCATTCAGCATTCTGATCTTTCAACAGTGACATGGGCTCCTTTGATGTTCAGGTATCCGTGGAAAATCATCCTCGGAAACCTGAGTAAAGGAAACATAACGGTAGCTGGAGATGCCATGCACCCCATGACACCTGATTTCGGACAGGGTGGCTGCGCCGCCCTGGAAGATGCTGTCGTGTTGGGACGATTCATCGGCAACTCAATCATTGCCAATAGGAGACTTGTGCCGGAGAATCTGGCTCCAGCCTTGGGGGGATATGCCCAGGAAAGAAGATGGCGTGCGGCTTGGTTGATTACAGGATCATACACATTGTGGTGGGTGCAACAAAGTGAGTTGAAATGGTGGATGAAATTCTTCAGGACTGCAGTTTCTATTTTGATTTCGATTTTGTCTCTTCGTAATGCAAATTTTAATTGTGGGAACCTGCCTACTGGTTCTTGTGATAAATCAGGTGGTAACTCATTGAAGATACATTAATGTTAATAACGTAAGTAGAGTCAGTAGACTTTATATGTATGGGACAAAATAATGATATATTTGAAAGATATGTATTTTGAATAATACTTTGGGTACTAATGGATGAGTACTAATATGTGTACTAACTAAAGCATAGTACCCGTACTATGCGCATAGTACGGGTACTATACTTTAGTTAGTACACATATTAGTACTCATCCATTAGTACCCATAGCATCACTCATGTATTTTATATCCTGTAAAGGCTGAGTACTTTAATGCACAGAGCGAAAATTGTCAGCTAGCTATATTTTTTTTTTGGGTAATTAAGTTTTAAATAAAAAATAAAAAGGAATGTACAAAAAAGTCCATGGTCAACCTACCACTGGGTAAACTCCTGGAATATGATCAAAAACAAAAGTCTAACTAAGACAAAAGAGTTACACAAGACATTATCTCTCAATATATATCATACCAGAGAAAAACCCGGAGTTAAGACGAAAACAAAAGCTTATACAAAACCATCTTCAAAAACAAAAACTTATACAAGACCATCTTCAAAACATACGCAAGACAACCATCACCAAAGCAAATCCAATCAAACACCATTTAAAAATTCACATTAGTAACCCTCAATCCCGAGCAAGACTTCTATTACTAATGGATCTCTTTTATCTTTTTAAGATCTATAGTTCTATCCCTCACAATTAACTTAATCATAGTAATGATTGAAGTTGCATAATTGTACTCTCCACCAAACACTATTGTTTCTTTCCCTCCAAATCCAATTGTCAGCTAGTTATTGATTTAGCAAAATACAAAAATCAAAATCAATGATTGATTACTTACATTTAAATTTTACCTCATAATTTCATGACAATAAGTCAATAACACCTGAAAATTTGTAATTATATATGTAGTAATAAACCAAGAGGAAGGAAGAGCAGACTTTGTACTAAAATTTGGAAGCCAAGTTTGACATTCTTATCAAGAAGAATATTCAATATTTAAGTTCATCGTGATTTCTCCTTCATAATTTCTTGCGTCCACGTTTCATATATCTGTATGTATGTTAATTTAACGTTATTATATCATGCATCGAACAATAAAAAGACACGATTAATAATGTACCATACTGTAAATGATGTTTCATTCAATGAATGTTTTGTGGTTGACGATAAAAATAAAAAAATGGGATTTAGAAGAAGAATAAGACTTGATCCCTGCCTTTTAGTTAAGTTTTTTCATTAAGCTTACTGTTTGATCTTGGTCCAAGGGTTTGACCACGACCTTTTAAACCAATATATAATTATATTTTACTTTTGATCTTGGTCAAAGGGTTGACCATGACATTTGGAATCAATATCCAAAATTTACAAGTAATCTTAAGGTTCCCATGAATAATTTGCATTAATATTTCAATTTTCAACAAAAACTTATTGTTTCAGACAACAATCAAATATTGTTTGGTTATTGCCTGTAAAAGATATTAGCAATTAATTAAGAACTATCGAGTAAACTTCTTCTACATTAAGCATGTGAGCATGATCGTTTAGAAGAGTCAAGATTCCAAAAATAGAAAAGTCCAACATCATGTCATTGCTTACCGTATAATAATATTGAAGAAACTCTCCAACTAATAAAATCTTATTATAATTATCTATCTCTCCAACAATCGTTTTATTTTCTCGTAAAGAGCAGTACTTTTTCCTTCAAATAAATCTCCTTAGTAAGAATTAACTCTTACAAAACTAGCAAAAGTTCAAATCAAGATTTTTGATGCACTGCACTTGCCGTTGAGATAAAGAGAAAGAGAAGAAAGAAATTGATGAAAATGGTGGAGGAAGAGGTGGTGATTCACGGGCGACAGCAGCCGTGGGTTAGCTGTGTTTCCTGAAGGCCATGGACTGGAACCAGAAGTGCAACAATTGAAAACTATGGACAAAAGAGGTGGGATTATTCCTATCGACGATAAGGAGGTTTATTGGTTATCTCACTTGTACATCTCCACCAAAAGGTGAATTCTTACCTTTTTGTTATATTATAGTCCTTTTTCCTGTAACAATTAGAAATTGTGAAAAATTATTTTTATGTTTATATATATATATTGCGGCGGTATTATATTAATATTACAACATGACTTTTGATTTATCTACTTAATCTTGATTCAAGTGCCTAATATTTCCGAAAAAGGTATATGAACAAAATTTCATATGAAAATTAAAATTCCCTGATCAATGTAACAAAATTGATTTCTTTTGCTTTGTAATTAATTAACGAACAAGTATAGTGACAAATCTATAAACTATTTTTTTATGGGTTTTTATTTTTCAATTTGTATCTATTATAATTATAAAGAATCTTCTTAACAAAACTAATTAATTTATTAAGTTTGTATATAATAAAGGGTGGAATAAGATGTATGATTAAATCAAAAAACTATAACGGATTTTTTTATGGGCTTGTTGGGTTTGCCTTCTGTCAAAGTTTGAGTCCAAACTTAGCTTAGATTTTATGGGTCGGGTCAAAATTGGGTTGGACTCGGACTAAAAGAAGATTGGGCTGAACACAACATTTTTTTGGACTTCTATTTATTTTCTATTACTATCGAAACGAATTTATCGGGTTGAAACTACGAGAAAATGGTCTCACATATTGTGATTGATAGCTAAATTCATTAATAAATCATCCAAATGAACAACAAATCGTGTATATTTTAATAGTATTAAAATTTTAATTTATTATTTTAGTAGCATTAGGATAATATAAAAATGAATATCAAATAGTCATTATAAAATTGAGTGATCAGATTCGACAACTTCACAACACTAATTAAATAGATATTAATATATTTCTTAATCATCTAAATGAGCAACAAGTCGTGTATGCTTTAATTGAAGAAGAAATCATTACTAGAATTAGATAAGAAAAGGAAGGAAATAATTATGAGGATGAATATAATATGGAAGTACCAAAAGTTTCGTGCCAAGAACCTCCAAACATGCAATTAGAAATATTTTGGCTTCAAAAAAGGTGTCCATATTGGCGACTTATTATGTACTCGCAAGATAAAAGATATGATAACAACTGTAAAGCATAAATAATTATCTTAAACAATTTTAGATAAATATTTTATTTTATTTTAAATATTTGATGTAACATAACATATTTTTTTTATAATATACATATAATTATTATTATATAAAGACAAATTCCTTAAGACGGGACCTAAAAAAACTATAACTTATTACAATGTGAAATTTATTCTTATTTATAATTGACCCAAATTGGATCCATAATTTTTTATAATTACATGAAAGTTATTTTTATATGAAATATCACTATAGAGAAGTTCTACTGTATAACTAGGAGCACTAATATTTAAAATAAAATTTCCCGCACCAAGGCCCATGAAACTGAGATCTCAACCTCAAGGCGGCATTTTATTCTTCCTTTGTCTGTTTTCTAAACTAAGCTTAGTGACTTCCAAAGATTGGGTTAATTTCGATGCTTTATCCCTCTAATTAATCGCTCATTGTATTGGTACAATCAAAATATATTTGGTTTAAATATAAAATATTATTGCAAATAATAAATTCCCTCAAGTACATTAAAATTTTCAGAATGTTTACATTGAAAAAAAAAATATTTAGATAATGTTATTATATTATCTCACACATTTCTATTTGCTGATGTTATTCTATATTCTTATAAAGGGCTCTTCTCTTTGCAACTATGGCTTAACTTCTTAATTTAAATTGCAAAAATTTAGTTTACAGAGATAAATTGAGAGAGATGGAAATGGTGGAGGATGTGGTCATAGTTGGTGCAGGAATTGCAGGGTTGGCAACCGCGGTGGCCTTGAAGAGAGTAGGGGTTCGAGCCATGGTGCTCGAGAGGGCCGACGGGCTACGAGCCACGGGTTCAGCCCTAACCCTCTTTCCAAATGCATGGCTCGCTCTTGATGCCCTTGGCGTCTCTCACAAGCTCACTTCTCTTTATTCTCCTTTCAAAAAGTAATATATAAAGAGTCTAGCTAATTAAGCTTATTTGTTTTTAATTTCTCCTTACTAATATTTCACAAACTTATAATTTAATTTTCTCTTTAATTTAGGGGTCGCACGATAAATATTGATACTGGAATTGATCAGAGGTTCCCTTTGAGGGGAATAATGAATGAGTGAGTTAATTAAATTCATGAATATTTATATTCTTATGAAATTAAGCGTTACTAAATATGATAATTTTAAATAATTGAGCTCATTTTTATATGTAGTCAAGAACATGGACCGAGATCAGTCCATCGGAAAACGTTATTAAAAGCTTTGGCTGATGAATTACCAGCTGAGACGATTCGATTTTGTTCAAAGCTAGCTGCAATTCAAACAGAAGAACAAGAAGGTTCAACCATTGTCATATTGAGAATGGAAGATGGAACCATCATCAAAACAAAGGTTCAAATCGAAATCAATTTCAAAAAAACCATTTTTTATCTAAATTACTGTATTGGATTCTAAACCAAATAGTTGTTTTAGATTTTAATAGGATGTGATGGGGTGCACTCCATGGTGGCGCGGTGGCTAGGGCTTGCAGAAGCAGCCAATTCAGGGCGATCAGCAGCCCGTGGGTTAGCTGTGTTTCCTGAAGGCCATGGACTGGAACCAGAAGTGCAACAATTGAAACATATGGACAAAAGAGGTGGGATTATTCCTATCGACGATAAGGAGGTTTATTGGTATCTCACTTGTACATCTCCACCAAAAGGTGAATTCCTTACCTTTTTGTTCATATATATAGTCCGTTTTTCCTGTAAACAATTAGAAATTGTGAAAAATTATTTTTTAATGTTTAATATATATATATTGCGGATGATATAAAGAATTTTTTGAGTCCTAATGTAAAAAATTTGTGCCACTTTGAGTTTGCATCAATAGCGCTCTTTCGTTGCAGGAGCTGAAATGCCAAGAAATTCGGAACTAATCCTGAAAGAAGTATCTGAGAACTATGCCAGGAACTTCCCTCAACATTACCTAGAAATCATTCAGCATTCTGATCTTTCAACAGTGACATGGGCTCCTTTGATGTTCAGGTATCCGTGGAAAATCATCCTCGGAAACCTGAGTAAAGGAAACATAACGGTAGCTGGAGATGCCATGCACCCCATGACACCTGATTTCGGACAGGGTGGCTGCGCCGCCCTGGAAGATGCTGTCGTGTTGGGACGATTCATCGGCAACTCAATCATTGCCAATAGGAGACTTGTGCCGGAGAATCTGGCTCCAGCCTTGGGGGGATATGCCCAGGAAAGAAGATGGCGTGCGGCTTGGTTGATTACAGGATCATACACATTGTGGTGGGTGCAACAAAGTGAGTTGAAATGGTGGATGAAATTCTTCAGGACTGCAGTTTCTATTTTGATTTCGATTTTGTCTCTTCGTAATGCAAATTTTAATTGTGGGAACCTGCCTACTGGTTCTTGTGATAAATCAGGTGGTAACTCATTGAAGATACAATAATGTTAATAACGTAAGTAGAGTCAGTAGACTTCATATGTATGGGACAAAATAATGATATATTTGAAAGATATGTATTTTATATCCTGTAAGGCTGAGAACTTTAATGCACAGAGCGAAAATTGTCAGCTAGTTATATATATATTTTTTTTGGGTAATTAAGTTTTAAATAAAAAATTAAAAAGAATGTATAAAAAAGTTCATAAAGGTGGACAACCTACCACAGGGCAAACCCATAAAATATGATCAAAAATAAAAGTCTAAATAAAACAAAAGAGTTACACAAGACATTATCTTTTAATACATATCCTATAAGAAGAAAACCCTAGATTAAGACGAAAATAAAAATTTATATAAGATCATCTTCAAAACATACATAAGACAATTATCACCAAAGCAAAGCCAACCAAACACTATTTAAAAATTCACATTAGTAACCCTCAATCCCGAGCAAGACTCCTATTACTAATGGATCTCTTTATCTTTTTAAGATCTATAGTTTTATCCCTCACAATTAACTTAATCATAGTAATGATTGAAGTTGCATAATTGTACTCTCCACCAAACACTATCGTTTCTTTCCCTCTAAATCCAATTGTCAGCTAGTTATTGATTTAGCAAAATACAAAAAATCAAAATCAATGATTGACTACTTACATTTAAATTTTACCTCATAATTTCATGACAATAAGTCAATAACACCTGAAAATTTGTAATTTTATATGTAGTAATAAACCAAGAGGAAGGAAGAGCAGATTTTGTACTAAAATTTGGAAGCCAAGTTTGACATTCTTATCAAGAAGAATATTCAATATTTAAGTTCATTGTGTTTTCTCCTTCATAATTTCTTGCGTCCACGTTTCATATATATGTGTGTATGTTAATTTAACGTTATTATATCATGCATCGAACAATAAAAAGACACGATTAATAATGTACCATACTGTAAATGATGTTTCATTCAATGAATGTTTTGTGGTTGACGATAAAAATAAAAAAATGGGATTTAGAAGAAGAATAAGACTTGATCCCTGCCTTTTAGTTAAGTTTTTTCATTAAGCTTACTGTTTGATCTTGGTCCAAGGGTTTGACCAGGACCTTTTAAACCAATATATAATTATATTTTACTTTTGATCTTGGTCAAAGGGTTGACCATGACATTTGGAATCAATATCCAAAATTTACAAGTAATCTTAAGGTTCCCATGAATAATTTGCATTAATATTTCAATTTTCAACAAAAACTTATTGTTTCAGACAACAATCAAATATTATTTGGTTATTGCTTGTAAAAGATATTAGCAATTAATTAAGAACTATCGAGTAAACTTCTTCTACATTAAGCATGTGAGCATGATCGTTTAGAAGAGTCAAGATTCCAAAATAGAAAAGTCCAACATCATGTCATTGCTTACCGTATAATAATATTGAAGAAACTCTCCAACTAATAAAATCTTATTATAATTATCTATCTCTCCAACAATCGTTTTATTTTCTAGTAAAGAGCAGTAGTTTTTCCTTCAAATAAATCTCCTTAGTAAGAATTAACTCTTACAAAACTAGCAAAAGTTCAAATCAAGATTTTTGATGCACTGCACTTGCCGTTGAGACAAAGAGAAAGAGAAGAAAGAAATTGATGAAAATGGTGGAGGAAGAGGTGGTGATAGTTGGTGCAGGAATAGCAGGGATGGCCACGGGGGTGGCTCTGCAAAGACTTGGAATTCAAGCCTTGATATTAGAAAAATCTCAAGGCCTCCGAGCCACTGGTGCAGCCTTAACCCTCACCTCAAATGCATGGCTTGCTCTTGATGCTCTTGGGGTTGCTCACAAGCTCTCTTCCCTTTATGCTCCTTTAAAGATGTAACATTAACTCTTCACAACTTTGTTGGTTAATTTATTCATGTAAATAATCGAAAATTAATTAATTATACTGTAATAATATAGGGGATTTGTCACCGATGTTGGAACTGGAGCTACCCAAGCAATCTCCCATGGTGGAGCCACTGGGTAAGTTTAATTAGTTCTCGACCTTACTTTTTTGAAAATACGTGAGGATTCTAGTTAATTAAGTAATTGAGATTTCAATTAAAATCAAATTAAAAGATTTTTGATGTCGATAGCTTTAGAAACTTGCATATAGTTTTACTAGATGAATGAAACAGGATTGAAGAAGGACCAAGAACAGTTCATCGTAAAACCTTATTAGAGGCGTTGGCAGATGAATTGCCGATTGGCGCCATCCGTTTCTCTTCGCATATTGACGTCATTGAAACACAAGTACAGGACGGTTCTCCAATTCCTGTGATACATTTGAGTGATGGTACTGTAATCAAATCCAAGGTAATTAATACTACCATCTCTTTTCATTGTTAATTATGTGATTTAGTTTTAGTTCCGATCATTAATTATTGCTTTGGTAATAGATTTTGATAGGATGTGATGGGGTACACTCGATCGTGGCACGTTGGCTAGGACTTGGATCACCAGTAAATTCAGGGAGATCAGCTGTGCGTGGATTGGCTGTGTTTCCTGATGGCCATGGCTTGAAGCAGGAATCCAGACAATTTGTAGACGTAGGCCTAAGGGCTGGATTTATTCCTCTCAGTGACAAAGATGTCTATTGGGGACTCACTTGTTTATCTTCACCCAAAGGTTCGAATTTTTCCTAGTTTTATTTGTATAAAGATGTCTTATGAGGTGCAGTACAAAATCTTATTTACTGATACATGAGTGTGGCATCTAATATGGTGCTAGGATGCTTGTGTGATAACAATAATTTTGCACTGATAAAGGATTATGTCATAAAATGACACATTTGTCTTGCTTTGTTTTCAGGAGAAATCATGGCAGCAGACCCAGAAGTGATACGAAGAGAAGTCCTGGAGAACTATGTTAAAGACTTCCCTGAAATATTCAAAGATATGATCCAGCATAGCGATCTTTCAACATTGACATGGGCTCCATTGATGTATAGGTATCCATGGGACATCGTTTTTGGCAATTTAAGGAATGGAAATGTCACGTTGGCCGGTGATGCAATGCACCCCATGACACCTGACCTTGGGCAAGGTGGCTGTGCAGCTCTAGAAGATGCAGTGGTACTCGGCCGACACATTGGCAATTCATTAATAAAAAACGGAGGACTTGTTCCAGGGGCAATTGCTCAGGATTTAGATGGTTATGTTCAAGAAAGAAAGTGGCGTGTGACTTGGTTGGTCATAGGTTCATATTTTTCAGGGTGGATTCAACAAGGAGGGTCAAATCGGTGGATGAAATTCCTGAGATATGTCTTTTACAAGTACTTCTTTATGAGGATTTCTAGTGCCGTAGATTATGATTGTGGGAAATTGCCAAGTGTTCCTTTCTCTAGTGAATTGGACAACTCAAAGAAAATAGAATAAGCTTTCATATTATGTTGAAGTTTGAGAATTCTTGAAAGACATATTTATGTACCTTGTAGGAAATGGTTTTGCATCCAATAAATATTATTTATGATTGATATATAAAAGTAAGAAGAAAAATAATTGATCCTTTCCTTTCAGTTAAGTTTTTTGGGTAATATGATAGTATATTACCCTTCAATTATATGTACACCCTACAATGTGTAATTTTATTAACAAAAATAATTTGCATGAATTCCTTACAAAATATGGTTTCAGACAATGGTGGAACTAGCTGTCGACTGACTTGGGCTACAACTGGCACAATTGGTTTTTTAAATTATTAGTCATTTTTTTTTAATAATAAAAAACAAATATTAGAGTAAAGGGAAATATTATATATTAAATTGGGTTATATATAGGATTATTAGATTTCCAAGTAAGCCAATAAAGAATAGTTTAAAATCATCAATATAATAAATCTTAAAGTTTCAAGAACTCATTCATTTAGTAATAAAATTTTCATAATCACCGTATTATAAGAAAAAAATAATTTAGTTCATATTTGTATTTATCTATCATATATTTTAATACTAACCACCACTGGATGATCTGATAGTAAAAGAGTAAAGGAAGATCTAACATGATCTCCCAAGTTCGAGCCCCCTTGATGGTAAAAGGCAAGAGAAAAATGTAACATGGTTCTCGAGTTCAAATCCCCCCAACTACTAATAGGGGTGGTCACTGGAGCTCTTATTCGGTCGGTAGTTCCAGGGTCTAAAAGATTAGTTGAATTGTGCGCAAGCTGATTCGAACTGGACCTGGTTATATATATATATATATATATATATATATATATATATATATATATATATATATATATATATATATATTATATTATATAATATATTATATATATATATATATATATATTCTCCACAACTACTAATAGGGGTGACCACTAAAGCTCTTACTTGGTCGGTAGTTTTAGGGTCCCAGATGATTAGTTGAGGTGTGCGCAAGCTGGTCCGAACCTGGACCTGGTCATTATATATATATATTATTCCTTTAGTTTCTCGCCAACAAAGAAACCACAGTCCATGCATAAAAATAATAGAGCCAAGAAATCAAATGAAAAGGGGTGAAATTCAGAAAGTAATATAATTTAAAATTTTCAACAAAATGATAAATATTAAAATTTTATTTTAATATATTTTTTTTATTCAATATAATTATAATCGTTTTCGACCCATTTTTAGGTTTTGAAAATAATTATATCAATAATTGTTGATACAGAATCCTTGTCGGGATCGGAACCGATGTATGCGTGATTAGTTATAATCAACAATGAATGTTTATGAGTGCAATAAAGTAGAGACAAAAAATGAATTTTAAAGTGGTTTGGCGAGGTTAATAGCCTACGTCCACTATGTTTGTGTTTGCTGTGAGAGCTTACAATGTAGTTTCAATCAAAAATTTGTAACCCCCTTCTCATCGTTCGAGGGGGTTTATATACAAAATTTGTATAAAGGAAATAGCGAAATTAAAGGAATTACAATTGATTTGAATTGTAATTCTTATATTCTCGCGATTAAGCGCTGTGATTGCGCAATAATCACTGTTGATTTGGTTATTCCCGCAATATTTGAGATCTGAAGTAATCCGGAGATGATTGAATGATTGCTTGTATTGTTTGCGACTAGTTTATGCTGGATCGATCAATCATTGTTGTCAGACTCATTATAGGTCGAACTATATCCTACATTGGTCTGAGCTTGGTGGAAAAATCACACACAACAATAATATTAGACACATCAAATATAAGAAATTCGTTTAAAACCACTCGTGAAAAGATCCAACTAAATTGAAGAAAAATTAGGATTTCGTTCCATATTAAAACCATAACTTATAAAGTTTCACAATTTTTTTAAATGGATTGAGTTTAATTAATTTTGTATAATATGACTTTATTCATTATGATCTAGCTATTCCATTTATTTATTGGATTAGGTAATTCCTAGTTTCGCACTTTCAAAACTTTGAACTATTAAATCGAGAAGCAAATATTGTTTGGTTGCATATGGATGATATTAACTTTATAAAAGTCAAATAATCAAGGGTGCGTTTGGTGTAGTATTTTGGATAGGATTTTGAGGATAGTATTGGATTTTTGGATAGGGGAGTATTACGAGGTAAATTTGAAAAATTTATGAAAAAGCCCTTAGGTTTACTAATTTAATTAAAGACCCTATTATATAAAATGACAAAAACACCTCCACCACCTGCAGTGTCAGATTCCGGCCACCACCACCGGAATCTGGCCGGAAAAGGCCAGATCGGTGTAATTCCGGCCATTTATGGTCGGAATTTAGGCCGTTGTACAGATTCCGGCTATCACCGGCGGTGGTTGCCAGAATCTGACAAGTTGGGTTGATTGGGGGGGGGGTTTTGTTAATTTTTTTAAAAAAAAATTTTGGGGGCATTTAGTGAAATTAATAACCTTATGGGGTCTAAAAGTAATTAAAAAAATAGGGTAATATTTCTGGAATAGTGTGCCAAACATTATTTGGAGAATAGGATTGGGAATATGGATAAAAATAGGGAGCCAAACGCACCCCAAATAATCTAGAACTATCATGTCTTTTCTCTTCCAAATTAAGCATGTGATCATTTTCATTTAGAAGAATCAAAGATTCCTGCTCTTCTAAACGCTGACTCTAAGGCGGCTTTTCTTTTACCTTAATAATTTTCTACTTTCTTCTTGTTGAAAAGTCCAACATCATGTGTCATTATCTCCATCTAATAATATTCAGCTCCGGTCAAGTTCAAATCCAGATTTTAGATTTTCACCTCAGAATTATTACATAATTTTATCTATAAATAAAGTTGATGTAGCATATATATATATATATATATATATTGTCGTATGCAAAAGAGGCACTGCACTTGTTGTTAAAAGAAGAGAGAGATATTGATGAAAATGATGGAGGAAGAAGTGGTGATAGTCGGTGCTGGGATAGCAGGGTTGGCCACGGCGGTGGCTCTGCAAAGACTTGGAATTCAAGCCTTGATTTTAGAAAAATCTCCAGGCCTCCGAGCCAGTGGTTCAGCTATAACGCTCTTCCCAAACGCCTTGCTTGCTCTTGATGCTCTTGGTGTTGCTCATAAGCTCACCTCCCTTTATGCTCCTTTTAAGATGTAAATTCTAACTCTTCACAACCCTTTTAGTTAATTAATTATTCATGTAAATAAGTCGAAGACTAATTAATTACTGTATACTGTGATAATACAGGGGATTGGTCACCAATGTTGAAACTGGAGCTACTCAAGAAATCTCCTTGGCTGGAAATGGAGCCACTGGGTAAGTTTGATTGTTCTTGAGCTTTATTTTTCAGAAATATATGAGATTAAGAAAGATTATTGATGTCGAGAGTTTCAGAAAGAACAATAATTTCATTATAGCTAGATGGTCCTGAAACAGGCTTGGAGCTGGACCCCGATACGTTCATCGCAAAACTTTATTAGAGGTGTTGACAGATGAGTTACCGAGTGGCGCAATCCGTTTCTCTTCCCATATTGATGCCATTGAAACACAATCACAAGAAGGTTCTACAATTGCTGTCATGCATTTGAGCGATGGCACTATAATCAAATCTAAGGTAATTAATTATAATTATGATGTTTTCATAGTTATGGTAATGTGATTTAGTTTTAGTTCCTAATAATTATTCGTCTTCGGTTTTAGATTCTGATAGGATGTGAAGGGGTACACTCGATTGTGGCACGTTGGCTAGGACTTGGAGAACCAGTGAATTCAGGAAGATCATGTGTGCTTGGATTGTCTGTGTTTCCTGATGGCCATGGCTTGAAGCAAGAAGTCAGACAATTTGTAGATGTAGGCCTAAGGGCTGGATTTATTCCTATCAATGACAAAGAGGTGTATTGGTTCCTCAACTGTATATCTTCACCGAAAGGTTCGCTGCGTTCGCATTCTTCCCAGTTGTATTTTATATATCACTTTTTATTAGTTTAAAGATGTGAAACGAGTCAGTAATCTGACTAGTGTTGTAGCCAATATGATACTAGAGAGGTTGTGAAGATGATAAAATGATCCATTTGACATGTTTTCTTTGTTTTCAGGAGAAATTATGAGAGCAGATCCAGAAGTGATACAAAGAGAAGTACTAGAGAACTATGTTAAAGACTTCCCTGAAATATACAAAGATATGATCCAGCATTGTGATCTTTCAAAATTGATATGGGTTCCATTGATGTTTAGGTATCCGTGGGGCATCGTTTTTGGCAATTTAAGGAAAGGTAACATCACAGTCGCTGGCGATGCAATGCATCCCATGACACCTGACCTTGGGCACGGCGGCTGTGCAGCTCTAGAAGATGCAGTGGTACTCGGCCGACACATTGGCAATTCATTAATAAAAAATAGAGGACTTGTTCCGAGGGCAATTGCTCAGGATTTAGATGGTTATGTTCAGGAAAGAAAGTGGCGTGTGACTTGGTTGGCTACAGGGTCATATTTATCCGGGTGGATTCAACAAGGAGGATCAAATTGGTGGAAGAAAATCCTGAGAGATGTCTTTTACAAGTTCCTCATTCCCAAGATTCGTAGTGTTATAGATTATGATTGTGGGAAATTGCCTATTGTTCCTTCCTCTAGTCAATTGGACTCGAAGAAAATAGAATAAGTTTTATATTGTATTGAAAGTGTGATAATTCTTGAACAACAATGAAATTAAAATATATGGCCTTGCTGCACAATTAACACTTTTTTAGTGATTTCTCTCTCCTATTTTTTCCCTCAATTTATTATTTGGATTGCATTGGGAAGTGCATTCTGATTTATTTTCCTTTCTTTTATGTTTGATAAGAAAATATGAGTAATCGGCTTTTTTCCCCCCAAAATAATGGTTCAACCATACTTTTTCACTCAAAAGGTTTTAAAATATAATTTTACTATCTAGAGTGTAAATCTGTTTTCGTTGTGAAGGAGGCCAGAATGATTAAAAGTCCGTTATAAGTTAAAAAAATGGTCCATTAACATTATGCATCGAAAATAAAAAAATCGAACAGTTGGTGGGCGTCTTTCAAAGACAGGTGGATTGGCGGCCGACGGTGGGGAAATTGGTACAATCCATCCACGACAATAAAGGACTCCAAATACAATCAAAATCCTTCGAAAACAACTCCAAAAAAAAACCTCTAATCGGCTTTCAATCGTGACTGTTTTGCGCAACAACCAAAAGGGCAGTGGACGGCGTTCGGCGAACGACCAGCCGCTGGGGGTTTTGTTAAGGGGGTGATGGTGACGCATGGGGTTTTTTGGCCATCGGAATCAGCCGTGGTGGTGGTTCGCGATTTGGCTGGTTCCGTAAACTTCAAACTTCCGTCAGCAAAACCTGACCCAAACACACCACCAAAAACTTGAATTCTTTCTCAACACACAACAGTGATGAATCAATAAAAATCATATAAAAAAGCAATCAAACAATCAAGTCTTCTCTCGGTCAACTCGGCTTTGAGAGAAAAACAAAGCCACTGCCAGAGAGAGGAAAGATATCAAACCACTTTTTTATTTTTATCTTTGAGTGGTGTTATGATTACAACATTTTTTTACAATTTTTTTTTCATAATTCTCGTTTAAAATTGATCTATTATAATTTATTAATTAGGATCTATTATAAATTGAATAATTACGAACCACAGTTGGAAAAAAGTCTGTGAAAAATAATTATAAACATAGATTATTGGTTATCTTTATAGCAGCGGCCCATACTCTCGTTACTACGATGAGGTGTGTAATAGTAGGAGTAAACTTATCTTTATGGCAGAGGCCCATGCTCTCGCTTTCCCTAATGAGCTGTGTAATATTAAGAGGAGTAAACTTCAAGATTATGAGGGTAATACTTTCGGGCCTCTGCCAGCATTTAACATTTTAAATTTATTAAACGAGAAGCAAATATTGTTTGGTTGCATGTGGATGAAATTAACAATTAATATAACTTTATAAAAGTAAATCTCATACTCAAGCACTATCCTGTCTGCTTCTTCTCAAGCATGTGATCATGTTCGTTTGCTGTCAACCTTGACCGACACTATGACGGCTTTACTAAACAATTTTTGCTTCCTCCTTCCCAAAACTCCAAGAATAGAAAAGTCATTGCTCACATCAAAATATCTGAAGAAACTCTTCAACAATGGGACGAAATTTTTTTAATGCCAACAATTGCATATAATTTGTCTATAAATAAAGTTGTTGAGAAAGACAGAAGAGAGAGATATTGATGAAAATGGTGGAGGAAGATGTGGTGATAGTTGGTGCAGGGATAGCAGGATTGGCCACAGGGGTGGCTCTGCAAAGACTTGGAATTCGAGCATTAATATTAGAAAGATCTCCAGAACTCCGAGCCGCTGGTGCCGCCTTAACCCTCTTCCCAAACGCTTGGCTTGCTCTTGATGCTCTTGGTGTTGCTCATAAGCTCTCTCCCCTTTATTCTCCTTTAAAGACGTAACTTAAACTCTTCACAACATCTTTTTGTGTGTGTGTGTGTGTGTGTGTGTGTGTGTGTGTGTGTGTGTGTATGTATGTGTAAATAATCCAATACTGATTGATTACATTGTGATAAATACAGGGGAGTTGTCACCGATGTCGGAACTGGAGCTACTCAGGCAATCTCCTATGCTGGAACTACAGAGAGCGGGTGAGCTTAATTTTTTGAAAATATTTAATTAAGAAAGATTCTAGATGTCGAGAGTTTAAAAAGAAATACCAGTTTCCTTTATTCTTATAACTAGATAGCCATGAAACAGGCTTGGAGCTGGACCCAGATCAGTTCATCGGAAAACCTTATTAGAGGCCTTGGCAGAAGAGTTGCCGGTTGGTGCAATCCGTTTCTCTTCCCATATTGATGCCATTGAGACACAATCACAGGAAGATTCTTCCATTGCTGTCATACATTTGAGGGATGGTACTATAATCAAATCCAAGGTAATTAACTACCATCTTTTCGTTGTTAATTATGTGATTTAGTTTTAGTTCCTCATAATAATTGTTGCTTCGGTTTTAGATTCTGATAGGATGTGATGGTGTACATTCGATTGTGGCACGCTGGCTAGGACTTGGAACACCAGTCGATTCAGGAAGATCAGCTGTGCGTGGACTAGCTGTGTTTCCTGATGGCCACGGCTTGAAGCAAGAGGTAAAACAATTTTTAGATGTAGGCGTAAGAGCTGGATTAGTTCCTCTGAATGACAAAGAGGTCTATTGGTTCCTCACTTGTCAATTTTCACCCAAAGGTTCGCTTTCTTCCCAGCTCCATTTTATACATCATTTGCTATTAGTTTAAATGTGTAAAGTATCAAGAATCTCTGATTGCCATTAAGTGACGAAATGACCCATTTGATATGTCTATCTTTGTTTCAGAAGAAATCATGGCAGGAGATCCAGAATCAATACAAAGAGAAGTACTTGAGAGCTATGTGAAGGACTTCCCTGAAGTATACAAAGATATGGTCAGACATTGCGATCTTTCAACATTGACATGGGCTCCATTGATGTTTAGGTATCCATGGGGCATCGTTTTCGGCAAGTTAAGCAAGGGAAACATCACGGTGGCCGGCGATGCAATGCACCCCATGACACCTGACCTTGGGCAAGGTGGCTGTTCAGCTCTAGAAGATGCAGTGGTACTCGGCCGACACATTGGCAATTCATTAATAAAAAACGGAGGACTTGTTCCAGGGGAAATTGCTCAGGATTTAAATGGTTATGTTCAGGAAAGAAAGTGGCGCGTAACTTGGTTGGTCATAGGTGCATATTTTTCAGGGTGGATTCAACAAGGTGGGACAAATTGGTGGATGAAATTCTTGAGAGATGTCTTTTACAAGATACTCTTTAGCAAGATCTTTAGTGCTGTAGATCATGATTGTGGGAAATTGCCTAATGTTCCTTTCTCAAGTGAATTGGGCAACCCAAAGAAAACAGAATAAGCTTCGTTATTTTTGAAAAACTCATTTATTTACTGTATAATAAAATATAGTTTGGATCAAAAGAACAAAATAATTAAGCTGATCCTTACCTATTGTTGGAATAATATTTGAAATAAAATGGATTCTTAAATAGTAGATATTATGTTAAATTTGTTGGAAGAAAAATACCCTTGTGATAAACATGCTTGAAAATGACAATCTAATTAACCTTTATAAATACAACGATAGTTGGTTCTACATATAAATGTCATGTGCACTCCAATATACAAAATCTCTCTGCTGTTTTTATGGAACATAATTTACTAAAAATCAAAAGTTTAGAGGGAACTCAACCAAGGAATTGACACCTTCATTTATACTAAAAATTATGTTGGTTAGTCGTTATTAGATGTCATAAAGTCAATCATAAAATATTATAAATACAATAAAACTCCCAAATTATTATGTACAATAAAAAAACTTCCATTGTATTACATTTTTAGTAGAATCATCGTCATTGTATTTTGAAATAATTAATAATAATAAAAAACGCAATACCTTTCAATTAAGTTTTTACGAGTAAAGATACTCATAGTATTACATCCCACAATATATAGTTTTAATAAAAAAAATATTTGCATGAATTTCATACAATATATAATTTCAAACAATGGTGAAACTAGCTATTGATTGACCCGGCTACAAGTGACTATTTTTTTTTTTTTTTTTTTTTTTTTTTAAATTAGTCAGCCTTTTCTTAAAAATAGGGTTATACATCTTATGGATTCTTACAATTTTCAGTTTTATAAAACTTAATAGATTTCCAAATTGTAAAAGATTTATATTCCAACATTCATATAAAAGTTCATAATACAATCAATTATAAACATGTAAAATACTCATGGAATATTGCAGAAGTAATTTACAAACCTCCTACCATAGCAATTGTTGTTTTAGTCTTCTTGCTTCCGTCACTTCAGATTACAGAGTCTTCCACTGATTGCAATTTTTCAGAGTGATGGTTTTAGGGAATCAAAAGAATTAACTGCATCAAATGGGGACCTGTAAAATCTCCTTTATAAATGCAGTTGTCTTTTCATCAAAGACAACTGCCCAAAAGAAACAACTGCATGTTCTTAGCAGCTACCCATTCACTTTGTATTAAAAGTGTAGGACCAATCCAATTAAAGAATTCTAATATAATTAAAATTCTAACATTCTCTCACTTGGTCCAAACTTTTATTATATAATCCACAACATAGGAGTTGTAGATTCTGTATGTTTAATCAGAAAAAAAAAAAATTACATGAATCACAGTGGTAAGTCCCTTTTAAACAAGTATTACCTTCTATGTATTACTATGCAATTTTTCTCTTTCTAAATAAATACTTAAATGTGGAATATTACTTTATGAACAAACCTCAAATGTTTGTTCCAGGTCCTCCAGAATGTTTGTTTGTCTCCAACCAAAATGTATACAACTTAAAAGAGAAAACAAACTAAATTACAAAGTTTCAGAGAATGAAAGTATTACCTCTCATAGTGACAAAGCGGGACGTAGTCCCATTTGAACTATATGATCCCAGAACGTCTTTAGTGGCATGCCTTTTTTTTAGAGGATCAGCAATCATCTGCTCGGTATGTATGTATTCAATGAGCACTTCTTTGGCTTTAATGTGCTCCCTTATTGCTAAGTACTTAATGTCGATGTGTTTACTTCAACTTCCACTCTTATTATTCTTAGCAAAGAATACAGCAGCTGAATTGTCACAATATAACCTTATTGGCCTAGAGATAGACTCAACAACTCCAAGCCCAGAAATGAAACTTCTCAACCAAATACCCTATGTAGTGGCCTCAAAACTAGAAACAAACACAGCTTCCATGGTAGAAGTGGTAACCAAAGATTGTTTGGCACTTCTACAAGATATAGCACCTCTAACTAGCATAAAAACATATCCGGATGTTGATTTCCGAGAATCAACACTGCCAGCGAAGTCTAAGTCTGAATATCTGACGACTTCTAAAATGTTGGACCGTCTATAAGTAAGCATGAAACCTTTAGTTCCTTGAAGATACCTCATGACCTTCTTTGCAACTCTCAAATGGTCCAAACCTGGATTACTTTGATATCTTCCTAACATGTCAACTACAAAAGCAATGTCAAGTCTAGTAAAGACTTGAGCATACATTAGGCTTCCAACAGTTGAAGCATAAGGAATAGTTTTCATTTGTTCCTTTTCAATCTCAAGTGTAGGACCTTGTTTCAGATTGAACCTATCACCCTTAACAATGGGTGAAACACTGGGTGAACAATCCTTTATTCTAAATCTCTCAAGAATTTTATTAATATAGGCTTCCTGAGATAGTCCCAAAACATGTTGAGATCTATCCCTATGAATCTTAATGCCAGTAACATAAGTCGCCTCACCCATATCCTTCATACTAAAATGTTGAGAGAGAAATTGTTTCACCTCATGCAGCAAACCCGAATCATTGGTTGCAAATAGAATATCATCTACATATAAACAAAGAAAGATGATTTTACTCCCACTGACCTTATGGTATATACACTGATCCATGACATTCTCTACAAAACCAAATGAAGAGATAACAGTGTGAAATCTTAAATACCACTGTCGGGAGGCTTGTTTAAGTCCATAAATAGACTTCTTATGCTTGCAAAACAAATGCCCACCATCACTTGAATTGAACCCATCAGGTTGTTTCATATAAACCTCTTCCTCCAAATCTCCATTGAGGAAAGTTGTTTTCACATCCATTTGATGTAAATCTAAATCAAAATGGGCAACTAATGCCATTATGATGCGAAAGGAATCATTTTTAGAAACTGGAAAAACATTTCTTTATATTCTATCCCTTCCCTTTGCGTGAAACCCTTGCCAACAAGCCTAGCCTTGTATCTCTCAATGTTGCCTAATGAATCCCTTTTGCTTTTAGATACCCATTTACAACCAATATGTTTCTTTCCAGTAGGCAACTCAACAAGGTCCCAAACTTTATTATCCGCCATAGAACTCATTTCGTCAATGATGACATTATACCACAACTCAGATTTACTACTGTCCATAGCTTGTAAAAACATGCTTGGGTCATCCTCAACACTTATGTCACAGTCAGACTCTTGCATGTACACTTCATAATCAGTAGGAATTGTTGATTTCTTTGTTCTGGTAGATCTCCTTAATGTTATATCAACAATCTCTTGTTGAGACTATTGCACAATTGGTTGTTCCTTTGTAGCAGAGGTTGTTCAAAATGATCTTCTAAAACAATCTTATCATAACGTAGAATTTGATTGATTGGTTCCTCATTGTTCACTCTGTTTGGATGAACAACTAATCTTTTACTTGATGTATGAGCATTATCTGAAACATCAATTTTCTCAAGGACTAAGTCTCTGATTTGATCACTCCCACTGACCACATCATTTTCAAGAAATTTGACATTTCTTGATTCAACAATTCTACTGGAATGGTTCAGACAATAAAACTAATATCCCTTGGATGTTCCCGCATATCCAATAAAATATGCACTAATAGTCCTAGGATCTAACTTCCGTTCTTGTGGATTATAAACTTTAACTTTAACTGGGCAACCCTAGATGCGTAAATGACTTAAACTTGGTTCCAACATTTCCATAACTCGAATGGCGTTTTGGGAACTACCTTAGTTGGAACTCGGTTTAATATATACGCTGCAGTTTTGAGAGCTTCAATCCACAAAGAATGAGGAAGTTTGGAGTTACTCAGCATACTCCGTACCATATCCATTAATGTTCTATTTCTCTATTCTACTACACCATTCTGAGATGGAGTGTCAGGCAAGGCGTATTGAGCCACAATACCTTACGCTTAATGAAATTTAGCAAATGGACCAAGTGCTTGTCCTGTACCAATGTATCTACCATAATATTCACCACCTCTATCAGATCTCACGATCTTAATTTGTTTTCCACATTGTTTTTCTACTTCTGCTTTATATATTTTGAAAGCATCCAACGTTTCATCCTTGTGATAAAGCAAATAGAGATACATATATCGTGAGTGATCATCAATAAATGTGATAAAATATTTCTGACCACTAGAGCTCATGTCAGGGTAACAAATATCTGTGTGTATGATCTCTAAAATTTTAGAACTCTTCTTGGCACCCTTCTTGGATTTATTAGTCCGCTTTCCCTTAATGTAGTCTACACAAGTATCAAAGTTAGTAAAGTCAAGAGTTTCAAGAACTCCAGTATTTACCAACCTTTTAATCCTATCAATGGAGATGTGTCCTAATCTCCTATGCCACAAAAAATAAGAGTTTTCATTCATAACAGTATGTTTAATACCTGTACTAGCATGTGAAGTCATAAGACTATAAGGAACAGTATCACGTAAATGAATTTTAAATAAACCATCAACCATAGTATAATTTCCAACAATAGATGAGTTATTAATTAAATTTAAAAAAACTACCATAAAAGTTGAAAGAGTATCCACAAGGTACAAGTTTTGAAACTGAAATTAAATCCCTAGAAAAACTAGGAATATAAAAGGTTCGTTCCAAATCCAAAATATAATTAGTGCTTAAAATAAATCTAAATGTTCCAAGAGCTTCAACACGTGAAGACATCCTGTTTCTCAAATAGATGCTGCATTCACTTCCTAACGGTTTCCTTTGATCCAGAAAACCCTGTATGATATTAGAAACATGGATTGTAGAACCAAAATCAATCCACCAATCATTATGTGAAACACAAATCATATTAGATTCATAACATATAAGAGATGTGAGGTTACCTTTCTTGTCAGGCTAGACCTTTCTCTTAGGACAATCCTTCTTCATGTGTTCCTTCTTTTTACAGAAAAAACACTTGATGTTGTCCTTATTTCCTTTGCTAGTAATCTCATGAAATGAGTCAGTAATCTATGATACTAGAGAGGTTGTGAAGATGATAAAATGAACCATTTGACATGTTTTCTTTGTTTTCAGGAGAAATTATGAGAGCACATCCAGAAGTGATACAAAGAGAAGTACTAGAGAACTATGTTAAAGACTTCCCCGAAATATACAAAGATATGATCCGGCATTGTGATCTTTCAAAATTGATATGGGTTCCATTGATGTTTAGGTATCTGTGGGGCATCATTTTTGACAATTTAAGGAAAGGTAACATCACAGTCGTCGGCAATGCAATGCATCCCATGACACCTGACCTTGGGCACGACGGCTGTGCAGCTCTAGAAGATGCAGTGGTACTCGGCCGACACATTGGCAATTCATTAATAAAAAATGGAGGACTTGTTCTGATGGCAATTGCTCAGGATTTAGATGGTTATGTTCAGGAAAGAAAGTGGCGTGTGACTTGGTTGGCTATAGGGTCATATTTATCCGGGTGGATTCAGCAAGGAGGATCAAATTGGTGGAAGAAAATCCTGAGAGATGTCTTTTACAAGTTCCTCATTCCCAAGACTCGCAGTGTTACAGATTATGATTGTGGGAAATTGCCTATTTTTCCTTCCTCTAGTCAATTGGACTCAAAGAAAATAGAATAAGTTTCATATTGTATTGAAGGTGTGATAATTCTTGAAGAACAATAAAATAAAATATATGGCCTTGTTGCACAATTTATATTCACTTTTTACTGATTTCTCCTTCCTAATTTTCCCCTCAATTTATTATTTGGATTGCCATTGGGAAGTGCATTCTTATTTCTTTTCCTTTCTTTTATGTTTGATAAGAAAATATGAGTAATCGACTTTTTTGCCCCCCAAAAAATGGTTTAATCATACTTTTTCACTCAAAAGTTTTCAAAATACAATTTTATTATCTAGAGTATAAATCTGTTTTCGTTGTGAAGAAGGCCAAAATGATTAAAAGTCCGTTATAAGTAAAAAAAGACGGTCCATTAACATTATGCATCGAAAATAAAAAAAAATCAAACAGTTGGTGGGTGTCTTTCAAAGACAGGTGGATTGGTGGCCGACGGTGGAGAAATTGCCCGGGAAATTGGTACAATCCATCCACGACAATAAAGGACTCCAAATACAATCAAATCCTTTGAAAACAACTCCAAAAAAATCGGCTCTCAATCATGACTATTTTGCGCAACAACCAAAAGCGCAGTGGACGGCGTTCGGCGAGCGACCAGACGCCAGGGGTTTTGTTAAGGGGTTGATGGTGAGGCTAGGGGTGGTGACGCGTGGCCTTTTTTGGCCACCGAAATCAGTCGTGGTGGTGGTTCGCGATTTGGCTGGTTCAACAAACTTCAAACTTCTGTGAGCAAAACCTGACCCAAACACACCACCAAACTTGAATTCTTTCTCAACACAATCACCACAACACACAACGGTGATGAATCAATAAAAATCATAACAATAGTGATGAATCAATAAAAATCATATCAAAAAAAAAAATCAAACAATCGAGTCTTCTCTCGGTCAACTCGGATTTGAGAGAAAAAACAAAGGGAAGCAGCAACAGCCACTGCCAGAGAGAGGAAAGATATGAAAAGAAGAAATTGGGCCAATAAACAAGAAGTAAACTTGACAGAGAAGGAAATACTTACTGGGCATGCATTATTCTTTATATATGTACTAGCTAGGGTTGCAATATTGCCTACAAGTGGCTTCTTGTTGTTGCAACACGTGTCCCTCCCTAACGATTAGGACAAGACCACAAAATATTATCCCATAATTTTAAAGTGTCAAACCACTTTTTAATTTTTATCTTTGAGTAATGTTTAAACTCACAAATCTCCTTTTGCAACTTTTTTTTCATAATTATGATATGGTAACTTATAATTACAATTGGTCATTCACAATTTATCAAGTGAGATTTATTATAATATGAACAATTGTAAGCTATTATGTTAGATTATGAGAAAAAAGATCATAAACATTTGAGAATATACTTTTAAGTTTTTAGAATAAAATAGGATAATAATAGCGCACCAAAGACCCGTGGATTTCGTTGATTATTGTTTATCTTTATGGAGAGGCCCATGCTTTCCTTTACCACGATGAGGTGTGTAATATTAGGAGTAAACTTATCTTTATGGCAAAGGCCCATGCTCTCGCTTTCTACAATGAAGTGTGTAATATTAAAAGGAGTAAACTCCAAGATTACGAGGGTAATACAAGGAATCTATGTGGTCTTTCTCAATTGATAAAATATTTTATTACCATCAATATTTATGTTATGCCTAGGAGAACAAGGGCTGACGTGGAAAGTCACGTGAAGCAGTGTGACCTGCTCCTGTCAGAACGGTAAGTACACGTCAGGCCTGCCAAACGCGTTGGAGCTCCCACGTGTCTATTTCCCTGCAATGAATCGCGTGAAATCAGCTTGGGAAGTGGGTAATGGGACGTAAAGCCGGATTATGTCCTGACACTCATACCAACCCATGGATTTAATGATGATTACACGCCCTCATCTGGTTATAAAAGGGAGAAGACCCCTTCATTAAGGGGATTCGGCCATTTTTACACTTAAACTCTCTCTCTTGCAAACTTTGTAATTTACTTTTCCTAATCATTTGTAAGTCAGTCCGCTGTTGCGACCTGACCCACCATACTAATACAAATCAGTGGACGTAGGACTTGCTACCTTAGCATCCGAACAACTTTAAAAAGCTCCCATAGCATTTATTTCACATAATTCCTTTCCATAATCATGTGTATCTCTTGATCAATCAACATTACGCACGTGTCGATTAGTTGGTGTTAGAATCACGCATCAATAGTTTGGCGCTAGAAGGAAGGCTGATTTGGTGTTCATCCTTCATCAGGAGAATCTTCAACCTACTGGTCCTACAGCAGCAAATGGCCCGCCAATCTGAACCTGAGCAAGCTAACCAGCGCGCTGAAGGAGTCCCCTTGACCCAAGGGGATACCCCCTCCAGGGTACTTCCAGTTTCACAAAATGCTAAGGGGATATCCCGGCAACTTCGCAGCTTGACCCCGCCATTAGAAGCTACCTAGAGAGGTTCGATAATACTCTCAAGACGGTCAACCAGAGGCTGGACCGTTTGGATCAAGGAATGTCATCTACAATAGCTGGGGCGGTGCAACCGCCAAAAACACCTGTAGGCCACGCGAAAGTGCGACAAAGGGAAATAGCCCGTGCCGCGAGCACTGCAGAGCGTAGACGTAAGGGTAAGCAAGTGGCAAAAAGTAAGCCTACGGGCTCCTAAGGACCAGCAAACACAAACTGTGCCCCGAGCAGGGTGCCGGCAAAGCTGAGACTCGGCAAAAAAGTGAATCTCGAGCTGTCCCATGCCACGTCGCAGGTGAACCCAAGCAAAGGTGCCGGGCACGACGATTCCTGTCACCGCCAGCAGAACGATCCTGATCGCTATCATGCGGGTGGTCCCTACACCTCGCGGGGCGGTTCGTACCACCGTGAGGGTTGTGAAAATGCCCCACACAATCCTTCGCCTTCACACGCCTCTAGTCAGCGTGTGTCGAGTGCAGCCGAAAATGCCGGCCGAGGCGAAGAGGAGTCCGATCTTCGGACTTTCCTGAACTGTAATCGCGAAGGCCGGACTCGCATGGGTGAAAGCAATCCCCAATTGGCTCCGTTACCACAAATTGAGGAGCTACAGTGAGTTCTGGACAGGTTAAGGGAGCAGCAAAACGAACAGGCCTAGGTCGCCTCTACATCCCCTTTCTCCCCCGAAGTGCTAGCTGCTCCACTCCCATCGGGGTTCAGAATGCCTGACATGCGACCGTTTGATGGGAACCATGACCCACAGGATCATTTGTATGAGTTCAACGACCTGATGGAGCTCCACCAGGTTTCGGACCTTGCAAAATGCCGTTGTTTGGCTGTGACGCTGACTTCTCACGCCAAGCAGTGGTTAAGGTCGCTCCTAGTGGGATCTATCAGTTCGTGGCCTCAGATGAGCGCGACGTTCCTACGACATTTCCAAGCTAATCGGAAGTTTTCGATGCCTTTGAGCTACCTCAGCAACATAAGGCAAGAAAGAGACGAATCCCTGCAATCTTATATCGATCGTTTCCATAGGGAACTTAACAAGGTGGCTCATGCCCCAGAAGAATCCATCCGAACGCTTATAATAGTTGGAGTTCGCCCGTAAACCGACCTGTGGAAAGAACTGCAGGCTGAGGACGATGTTTCCCTCAGCAGATTTTACAACCTTGCAAAAAAATATCTTTGAATAGAGAATTCATTGACAGCACTCCGCCGCCGCAATCACGGCACTTCAAGCAGTATGTCTGGTCGGGGAGAAAATAGGAGAGCTGATCGCAAAGGAGACATTGATGATCAGCGAAAAGGGAAGAAACCCTACTACGAGCACAAGAAGTCTTATGCTCCTGTTCCTCGTCGTGACCGGGACAGAGCTCAATACACTCCACTGAACGTGTCCATATCTGCAATCCTTGACAAATCCGAGGAGGCCAGCCTGCTCGGTGAACCGGAACCCATGAAAACCCCTGCTACGGCTAGAAACAGCAAAAAATACTGCAGTTTCCATCGGGATAACGGGCATCACACTGATGAATGCTGAGCTCTAAAGCAGGCAATCGAGGAGCTCATCAAGAAAGGGCACTTCAAAGAGTATATTGATGACTCTCCAAAAGAGAACCAAGGGGAGCAGAAGAAAAAGCGTCGTGATCGCAGCAGATACAGTAGTGTTAACATAATCTTCGGAGGCCCGCACCTCGCGGGAAACACGCGAGGTACGCAGGAAAGGTACGCTCGCGAAGCTTATCACGACCCGATCAGGGTAATGAACACTTCGCAGCAACCGCAAAAGGCTCGAAAGGAGGAGCCGATCACCTTTTGCGAAAAGGAAGTAGCTTGCTTGCACCATCCTCATGAGGACGCTCTGGTGATCACGCCCCTGATAGGGTGCCATAATGTCTACAAAATGCTTGTGGACAACGGAAGCGCTGTGAACATCCTATTCAAGACCGCTTTCGATAGAATGAACCTAGAATAGGCCGACCTGAAGCCCGCCTCGATGCCCCTTTATGGTTTTACAGGGGATTACCTGATCCCCAAAGGAACAATCCAGCTACCAGTCACGCTTGGCGACTACGACGAGGTGACTAGGGTTACCGAATTTTTGGTTGTGGACTGCCCATCGGCCTTTAATGGAATCTTGGGGCGACCTCTATTGAGAAGCTTCAAGGCAGTCACTTCGATATATCACCTCAAGATGAAGTTCCCCACTCCAACGGGGATAGGGGAAGTGAGCGGATCGCAAAGCGCATCTCGCGAATGCTACGTAAAAGCGGTATAGATGACAGGCAAGGGAAAGGGCATTTCGCGATGTGTGCCTTGTCAAGCAATGGCGATCAGCCGGATCGAGCCACAGCCCGGTCCAGCTGAGGATAACATAGATCCGTAAATCCAGGAAATCCCTCCTAACGGCCCGGTTGAGGATCTATCCAAAATTTTGGTTGATCCAAAAGAGCCAAGCCGAGTGTTAAGGATTGGAAGCTGTCTCAACCCTCAGCTTGCTTCCGAACTGATAAGCTTCTTAAAGGAAAACATTGACGTGTTTGCCTGGTCGCATGCAGATATG